AACGAACTCTGTTTTAACAGAGTATGAAGAACAAAACCAAAATGAAAAATAGAGTATGAAGAAACTTGATCTTTATTGATAAGATAAAATGTATTACACACAATGATGTTATTGAGTTTGACTCGATCTACTTATACAACACGAAACAACGTGTACGTACATGTGTTAATCGAAAAGACACAACTTTACGAACAGACACAATTATACGTACGTACATTCGTGACTCTTACGTAAATAACTAATTTATATGAATACGAATTTAGGTTATATGACTTAGATGAGATTTGATTATAGTTCAACAATACTGTCATTTTTAATTAGCGGGTCTGTTAACAGAGAATTAATCCCGTTAACATTGTCTGTTAACTCACTTAACGTCATGCCTAATATGGCCAAGTCAATGAAAGTTTGGTGTTTATTTGGAAAGTCAACATAAGTTTAATATTTATTTGGAAAGTCAACATAAGTTTGATATTTATTTCGTTTCGTCGTGAGTTGAGGATTTAAATCAACGTTTTGAATAAGTTGGGGATTTTAACGACATTTTTCCCATTGGGGAACTAATTTGACACGTGCCGTTAAATCTCGAGGGGCAATTATTCAACAATTTTGATAACATCGATTATCAAAGCGCAAAGACATTAAGCATATCGTCATCTCAATATATTAATAGTGGGCGTCTTTTTTGGTAATTCATATATTAGTGGTTTCTGAGTCGTTTTCTATAACTAGGTCAAGATTCAATATCCAAACTATACAATATAAGACAATTTTGTTATAATTTCCTAAGTCATTGCGTCATGTCGGCCAACTTCGTTTTATTGCGTTCATTTCCCTTCTTCTTTCTTGACATTTTTTTTTTCGTCTGAATAATTCATTGATAAGATCAGTGCCGTGCTAAGACTAATTGTAGCTTAAAGGCAAATAAAAATATGGCCTTTATTATTAAAAAAATCAAAATAACGAAAATATATATTGTTTCAAAGCATATACAGTAGTGATAAGATGAAAAAAAAAAAATTTCTAAACCACTATTTTCTATCCTTTTTTCCTAAAAAATCATTCAGTAAACTCAACTAATTTTGTTTTTAATCTTTTTATTTTTAAGTGGTTGATTGATAATTATTTGAAGAAGAAATACTCAAAATCAATTTCCTTTTATTTTTCTTTCAAATTATCATTTTCTTTTAAATATGCAGATGATTCCAAAACAGATTTTCTTTATTGTTAGTTATCTTTATTAAAATTATCTTCCATTAGTGCTATATTTATAAACTAAAGTCTAAAGCATGTACAGAAATTTCCTAATACATAACGTATACATATTAATATTATTCTAATGTCATGGGCTTCTCAAACAAATACCCACTATACAACTTAAATACATAAGCCTAAAAAAAAATGCGGCCTACAAAATTCAAATTTTTTTTGTGGCATTGGGCAAATACCCTTTCCTCTTCCCATTAAGCACGGCACTGGATAAGATACTTGGAGTTACTACATAGCAGTAAGGAAATAAATCCTTCCAAAAACAAAGTCGGAGGATATATAGAAACCCAGAAACAAAGGCCAAAAAAGACATCTTTCTTGACATCCGTTTTTCTCTTTTTAAATCAAGAGTTCACATACGACAGAAAAAAAAAAGAAGAAGAGCAAGAGCTCGCATAATACAACAACCAAACTAATTTTATAAAGAAAATATAAATAATCCTAAACGTTACTAATTATATGTATTACCGCCTTGAATCATTAAGTAAACCCTTCACAAAACAAAAAAAAAAACAAAAGAGGGTGAAGTATTCTTTTTGCTTAATCAAGCGAATAATTATCTAGTTTATAGCAGGGTATATAGTCTTCTTGTTTTTTCTTTAAGACTTAACCACTATAAATCTGATTGCATAATTTAAAAAATAGTAGATTATTGTTGCCACAACTTAATTTGTTGTCTAAAGCAAAAAAAAAGAAGAAAGAAGATTTTTGGTCCTTATCAGGCAGAGAGTTCAAAAAAATTTCACAAAAAGTTAGAAGGTTTGAATTCAAACTCGTCATATATACTGTAAAAGAAAGTATATGAATTTAACCACTTTACTAAAGAAGTTTCTTTACTATGATGTTCCAAAATGTTTTCATAGAGTTTTGATGATTAAATTCTTTGCTTTATAGGTTTTAGTCCACGGTCTGACCTGCTTACAGCTATGTGTTTATATATAACTGGTTATACCAATCATATTTTAAGGTTTCCATTAGTGTCATAACGTAATGGTGGCGTATGAGGTTTTTGGACCATAGAAAAGATGAAGTTCATAGGAAAAAAGAAAGAAAAGAGGATGAAGGTAAAATTAGAGAAGACGACGGTACACAACTGATTACAGAACAAACGGTACAATTCTTATCAGCCAACAAAAATCAGAGCCTAGTATGTATGCCGATCACGTAGGATCAGTCCAAATATTTATAGATGTTTTTTGGGATTATTTTTCTGCCAACAAGTACATGTATAAACCTCGTACTCAAGTGGACGCCTATAAAAAACTAAGGCTTCAATCACTAGGCGGTAGTCTAGGCTCGAACATCTGTGGATGAATTATATACTGGGCTTTTCTTTACTAAATAAAAAAGTAATTATAAGACGTTTTGGATTTTCTATTTTAGTAGTATAGGTTTGTTTGTGCTTTTATTACTGGGTTAAGAATTCATACGTGTTATGTGCATTTCGCTTTAAAAAGACTTAGCTCTCCTTAGGTGATCGACAAATTGCGGCCAATATTGGGTCCATGGGCCGAAGTAGCAGCTAGAAACTAGTTTCCATTTTCTCTAAAATTAAGTTCAGGTTACTCAAAAATCTAGGACAAACTTATATCATAATGCTTGCTTTATCATAGTTCCAAATCCAATAGAGAATAGAAGCCCATGTGTTACTATAAAACTAGGGTTTTAAATGGTTACGACTTACGATGTACGGTTCTCACTTCTCAGGCGTGACCGCGTGAGACCAGGCAACGGAGAATGAAATTATTAGTTAAACTACTTTTGCACATGATTCCAAGATACCAAAATCTCAAATTATATCGGATCAAACAAGTTTTTTCTAGTGAAATATTCATACTGCATTTGCTAAGCAAGATGTCATTAGATGAAATTTAAAGTAATGGATTTTTTTTGTTTTTTTCTTTGAATGAATGTTAAATTATATTCATCAAAAAAGCCGTTTGGTACCTCAAGTGCAACAATTCAAAAAGAAAATAATGAATTTCAACATCCTTTTACATTTTATCTTAACCTCCTTTCGAAGTTCGAACTGTTGATTAGTTAGACCAAAACGATCTAATCTATCCATTATACTGACGATGTGCTTCATCCATTTAATTAGTCTTTTGTATTACCCAGGTGGAAATATGAAATAACCTAAAAAGTTCGATTAGTGCATAAGGGATACACGAACTTCTTCGGAAGGTCCAACAATTAAAACTAGCCTTTGTTGATCATATAAATATACTTCCTACCCTATGGTTATCCTTTAAAGATCCTTAGTCCCGTAATCCATTTTTCATAAAAGTTATTCATACATAAGCGTTTATTTTCTGGATAATATAGAACTATTATAATGGAAAATATGACTTCTTGATTTTCCGTCATAATACTAGTATTTTATTTGGTCTTTCTAAGGACATCTCCATCATAATAATTAATTGTATGCATTTTTTTGGCAGTCCAAATTTTGACTTAAACGAAAAAAAACTCTGTGGAAAATTCATATAGAGGAAAACCCCAATAATTGGAAGATTTGCATTAGATGAAATATAATAATGATTTTGACCCCAAAATGCAGTCTCTATTGTTCCAAGTTTTGACTCTTCAACCAACTTATACATATGGACAATATGACCCCAAACTGAAAGTTGCCGAAAGTCCATAGATTCCCACACAAAGTAATAATGATCGCATTAAGCCATTAACAAATGAAAGAATAAAACAATAACATTCATGTTTTGTGTGATCAGTTATTAAAAAGAAATAGAGATTTGGGTTGTGTTTAATTTAATAATGGCAGCCAAAGTGAAGACATCTTTTTTTATTTTTGTCTCCCACCCAAAGCCAAAGGGGACGAAGATTAGAGAACGCGTCACTGACTCTCTCTTCACAAGCCTCTCCCACATCATATCTCTCCTCCTTGTAAAATTTTTTGTTCCATACCAGAAGTTAGCTAGTTGATTTTTTTTTTTTTTTCCTGATTCTGTTTATTATTTGTAATGTAAAAATCGTATTTTGCTTCTTCTTTTTACTCTCTTTAGTCTTTTCCTTCCACTTTCACAGAAGTTGATGTTTTACTGTTTCATGATTTTTAAATTTTCTCACTTCAATAAAACATCAAAAAATGATAATTGTTTTTTTTTTTTTTTTTGAATCTCTTCATGGTATGTGATTGATAATCTCTCTGCCTCCATTAATTTGGGTTTGGCTCGAATTTTAATGGAAATAGACAGCTTAATTAAAATCATGATAACAAAAAAAGAAACATCAGCTGAAGCAAGTGGTAGAGTTGACTGGTAAAAGTCTCTTTCACGTGCTCTTGAAAAGCGCGTGCTAGTTGTGTCTGTGTGGTAGTGGATCACGCACACGCGTTGTTGAAGTGTTACCGGCGTAACCAGTCTGAATTTTGACTTACGAGATTAAAGTGGTGACTCCATCTTTTACACTCCCCCAACTCCGAAATTTACCATTTCCACCCACAACTGTATCAAAATCGAATTATTAGAATCCAAACCAACACAATTCAAAACGAATAATAATAAATTTGATTTCTTAAATGAAAGGAGAAATTAATAGATAATCAATTATTTTCCATGTCAGCAGTATACGAGTAGAAGAAGAGTCAGCAGAAGAGCGACAATATGGCTCACCTTTGAAAGTTTTGGTTTCAACTTTTTTGACTTTTGACCTAAACCATATCTATATCATCTCGAGGAACAAAGAAAGTATTCCAAAAAATATAATAAAAAAGATAAAGAAGATCGAGAAAGAAAAAAGGAAAGAAAGAAGGCAGCTTCCTCTCTCCTTCATTGCAAAGAAGCACCTTTTAAAGAATCCTCTCCTCACAACTCCATTCTTCTTTAAAAAAACCCCAAACACATTTCCCACTTGTTTCTTCCATCAAAATAGCTTCCAACTTTCTTCTCAATTTCATTTCAGGTTTGTGCCTTCTCTTCTTGAATCTTCTTCTATTGAATTTCCTACTTCGTTTCGTTTATGGGTTTAGCTAGGTTCCCAAGTCTTGCTATTTCTAGAAAACCTCTTTAGTTTCTTGATTTATCTTTGACTTGTTTCTTGAAATTAAAAATAAAAAATTTGGTTGGAATTTTTCAACGGAGAAGAGTAGAAACGGTCGTTGGCTTGTCTTAGTAGAAAGTACTTTACTTTACCTTATTTATATCCGCTAAAATTGCGGCATCAAATTCTGCATAAGATTACAAAGAAATAGAGCTTAAAATCGAGATTTATTCTCTATCAGTTTCTCATCATCAATTACTTTTTTTGAATCCACAGGATAATATTATGTGCAGTGGACCAAAGAGCAATCTCTGCTCTTCAAGAACCTTAACAGAAATCGAATCAAGGCAAAAGGAAGAAGAAACAATGCTTCTCCTTGAATTCGCCGCTTGTGATGATCTTGACTCGTTCAAGAGAGATGTTGAAGAGAAGGGGCTTGATTTGGATGAGCCAGGGTTATGGTATTGCAGACGGGTCGGGTCTAAGAAGATGGGTTTTGAAGAAAGAACACCTCTAATGGTTGCAGCTATGTATGGAAGCATAAAGGTTTTGACTTTCATCATTTCCACTGGTAAATCTGATGTGAACAGAGCTTGTGGTGAAGAGAGAGTCACTGCGCTTCACTGTACTGTTGCTGGTTGTTCTGTGAATATGATTGAAGTCATCACTGTCTTGCTTGATGCTTCTGCTTTGGTTAACTCTGTTGATGCTAATGGGAATCAACCTTTGGATGTGTTTGTTCGGGTTTCGAGATTCGTAGCTAGTCCGAGGAGGAAGGCGGTTGAGTTTTTGCTGAGAGGAGGCGGTGTTAGCGGATTGGTCGATGAGGCGGTTGAAGAAGAGATCAAGATCGTGTCTAAGTATCCGGCTGATGCGTCTTTACCGGATATTAATGAAGGGGTTTATGGAAGTGATGAGTTTAGGATGTATAGCTTTAAGGTTAAGCCATGTTCTAGGGCTTATTCTCACGATTGGACCGAATGCGCTTTTGTTCATCCGGGAGAGAACGCGAGGAGGAGAGATCCGAGGAAGTATCCTTACACGTGTGTCCCCTGTCCCGAGTTCCGAAAAGGGTCATGCCCGAAAGGAGATTCTTGCGAGTATGCTCACGGGGTTTTCGAGTCGTGGCTTCACCCGGCGCAGTATAAAACCCGGCTTTGTAAAGATGAAACGGGTTGTGCAAGGAAAGTTTGTTTCTTTGCTCATAAACGTGAAGAGATGAGACCTGTTAATGCATCAACTGGCTCTGCCGTGGCTCAGTCTCCGTTTAACAGCTTGGAGATGATGCCAGGTTTGTCTCCTCTTGCGTATTCTTCAGGAGTTTCGACTCCTCCGGTTTCTCCAATGGCTAATGGTGTTCCTTCCTCTCCAAGAAACGGCGGATCATGGCAGAACAGAGTCAATACCCTTACTCCACCGGCTTTGCAGCTCAATGGTGGAAGCAGATTGAAGTCGACACTGAGCGCTAGAGATATCGATATGGAGATGGAGATGGAACTCAGACTCCGCGGTTTTGGCAACAACGTCGAAGAGACTTTCGGATCTTATGTTTCCTCTCCAGGTAGAAATTCTCAAATGGGTCAAAACATGAACCAACATTATCCATCTTCCCCGGTAAGGCAACCGCCATCTCACCACGGGTTCGAATCTTCAGCAGCTGCAGCGGTTGCAGTGATGAAAGCGAGATCATCCGCCTTTGCGAAACGTAGCTTGAGTTTCAAACCGTCTACTCAAGCAGCACCGCAGTCGAATTTCTCGGATTGGGGATCTCCAAACGGGAAACTCGAATGGGGAATGAAAGGAGAAGAGCTGAATAAGATGAGAAGAAGCGTTTCCTTTGGAATCCATGGAAACAACAACAATAACGCAGCTAGAGATTACAGGGACGAGCCAGATGTGTCATGGGTTAACTCTTTGGTTAAAGACAGTGTGGTGTCTGAGAGAAACTTTGGAATGAACGAGAGGGTTCGGATAATGTCGTGGGCTGAGCAAATGTACAGAGAGAATGAGCAGACTGTGGCATAAACACACAAAAATATGGTTTTATAGATTGCTTTTGTGCCATCTCCGCAAATTTAATTCTTTAATTTTTGTCACTTTCTTTAGTTATTAGCCCTGTTCTAAAAATCCCCGCCTAGCCCCGATTACTCCCCGCTTAATCGCTAGGCCCACCCTATCCGCCTCGATTAATGACTAATCCCCTAAAAAATCAGTAACCCGATTATTCTCCGCCTAATCCGATTATTTTCCGCCTAATCTTATATACCCCGATTATTTTTTAGATTGCAAGTATAAAAAAACTTTTTATTTTTGTTATTCAATCATTTGAATGGAGAGTTTGTGATGTTTTACAATAACTTGTGTTCAAATTTTAATAAAAATCATAAATTTGTAATAAAAATCATAAATTTTTACAATATTGGATTAATATATTTTAAAAATATTAAAATAACCCTAAAACTAATCCCCGATTAATCCCCGATTTTAATCCGATTTTCCGATTAATCGCTAGGCCCATGCCGAGCGCCCGACTAGCGCCTAGCGATTTTTCAAACAAGGGTTATTAGTAACAACTTGTTACTGTTAGTATATGGTTTGTAGTATATATAGAAACGTAACTAGAGTGAGCTCTTTAGTTTTTATATTCGTTTTTTTCTTCATGATCTCTTGTAATTTTCAAGCTATGAAATGGTCAAGCAATAATAATACTTTACTTATCTTACCATCATCCCATTACATACAATGAGTGAGTGAAGATGGATTCTTTCGACAACAAAATTTTCAACCAACTTATGGTGATCTAGTGGTTGAGGAGGATTACCGAGTGTGTCGAGGTCAAATTTTCGATGGCCACAATACCGGATTTTTCACACACTCGGAATTACTTCGAGCTTTGCGGCTTCAAATTCCCCGGCTATAAACAAAATCTATATCATGAAAACCTCCAACGGAAAAATGGTAAAGAACGATATTTGAAGCTGTTGGCGCTCAAACCACTTAAGCAGTACATGTTCTACAAGCTACATGGGTACGCCGTACGCCTAGAAATATTGTCGTTAGAGCGTGGAAAATAGTGTGATTATTGGTAGCATGTGGTATCATTTTTGTTTGAATCTAATATTAAATTATATTCAAAGAAGAATAAACGTTTATACAATTGAATGCAAACTTTTTATAAAAAAATTACAAAGAAGATTCTTTCATTGGTGTTATCTCCATGCAAACTAATCTTGTAATCTCCTTGCATAGCATCTGGTATCATTGATGTAACTTGACCAGAGAAGTTAATCTAGCGGACAATCAAATGTAGACCATAACAAATTAATGGATGCATAAAATGGTGAGTTTAATGAAAGTCAAAATGTTTATAATTTTGATTAGATAAAAATGTAGATTAAAGTATTTTCTCTTCAAACGTTTTTTCTAATAAGAAAATACCAGAAGTTTTTGGACGCACGTGTGCATCAGACACATCATTACGCACGTTGGTGAACTTCAAGCAAAAGTGCAAAACCATTATAAAATAAGATGTGTGTATCTAACTCACACCACACAAACAAAGTACAAAAGGTTTAGGCTGGGTTCCTTTGGCTTTGGTTCAAAGCAAAAGGATTCAAATATTGAACTAACAACTAAAACCAAATGGAGTCATAATAAAGTATACAAAACAGAATCTGCCAAGAAAATAAATATACTATAACTTTACATATATGTAGAAGATGATGTAAATAAAATGGATTGGTAATGGTTGGTGCCTCCGTATATATGTGTGTGTATGAGATTCCTTAGCCTTTACTTCTCTAAAACAGAAAGCTTCATATGTATATCATTTTTGAGTTTTCGTCCTGTCTTTTAAATTTTCATTTATTGATATTGATTTTGGAATATGCATTTATTAGTATCTCTTAACGAACACGGATGCTTCACCCTCAACATGCGATGGAAACATGATTGTTACAGAAAACGAAAGATTAGTTTCTTATCCCAAAACGTAAGATTAATTTGGTGCTAATCTACTTTTAGATTTGGTGATTAGGAGGAGTAAACTTGTGTTTAATATAAAACTGATCTTTGCTTTAATATGCATGTTTGGTGAATTACACGGAAACATAATCAGATCAACTGGCACATGAGACATCAATTATTCAATTTCATGTTGGATCCTTCATCCTTATTGTTCATAGAACATTAATTATGTTTAGGAAAGAAAACACATTTTTATTTTTTAACCTCAAACCATGAACCGAAAATGTAAAACAATCAGAAACTTTGGTGCTATACAAGTAAATAAATTGGAAAAAAACACATGCTTCTAAAAGTGTTTAAGCAAAGGTAATTGTTAATTAGTATGCTACTTCTACAATTGTTGTTTCTATGGTCCCTTTCTTTAGGTGAGGATTGAGACAATCTTTTAGAATCTTTGAATCCACTCTTCGCTCCAAACTCTACTTTGCTATAACAACAACTTCAAAATAGATTAGTTAAGCGAATGAGGTTACATTTTAAATTAAAGAAAAAGAAAACGATACAGAGCAACTTTGTTTTCTTTTGTTTTTAAAGAATTTCTTCATATGAAAAGCCTTTAAAAACCAGTTCAAGATAAACCCATCTCACCAAACTACTAATCACAAAACTAATTAACGTCAAACAATAACAATTTCACAAAATTTTTATTTTTATTTCCTTTATTCGTTGCTCTTATATTTCCATCGATCTTTCTCCTGACTCTCACAAACATACTGACATTTCACGAAGAGAATTATTTTTTCTTTTTTCTTTTCGTTTTTCAGTTTCAATTCTTCTCTTTATATTAAAAAAAAAAACAGATGCAACCTTGGAGAAGAAAATTTCCATTGTTCGAAACAGGAGTGACAATGAAACAGAGGAAGAACAGTAATCTCTCAATCTTCGTCGTCATCTTCTCTGTTTTCCTCTTTGGGATCTTCATGTACAATGAAGACGTCAAATCCATCGCAGAGTTTCCTTTTTCCACCTCAAAACTTAACGACGTCCACGACGAGACGACACCGATTACAGAGACTACAACACTACCGGTTCAAGAACCTATCAAGAACTCAGACCCAATTCAGGAATCTGTTAAAATCCCAGACTTAGATCAAGATTCAGTTAAAGACGCAGCAGAACCAGTTAAGGAGGAGGTATCGAAAACAGAGGAAGTGAAAAAGATTGAGCTTTTCGCTGCGACGGAGGATGAAGAAGACGTTGAATTGCCGCCGGAGGAGTGTGATTTGTTCACCGGAGAATGGGTTTTCGATAACGAGACGCATCCGTTGTATAAAGAGGATCAGTGTGAGTTCTTGACGGCGCAAGTGACTTGCATGAGAAATGGAAGAAGAGATTCTCTGTATCAGAATTGGAGATGGCAACCAAGAGACTGTTCTTTACCAAAGTAAACCGGGAAAAAGCTCTGTTTTTGTTTCATCGATTCTTTGGGTTGGTTTAGTTTTGGTTTCTCTAATTTCGTTTCCGGTTTTGTTTGATTTGGTGAAGGTTCAAAGCGAAATTGCTGTTGGAGAAGCTAAGGAACAAGCGAATGATGTTCGTTGGAGATTCCCTAAACCGGAACCAATGGGAATCAATGGTTTGTTTGGTTCAATCAGTGGTTCCTCCCGGTCGAAAAAGCTTGAACAAAACCGGTTCTCTTTCCGTTTTCCGAGTTGAGGTAATTAAAATTGACTAATTTATTTGTTATGATAATGATAATGCGTTTGGTGGAGTTGCTGATTTTCGAGAGTAGTTAAGATAAGTGTGGATTATTTTTAGTAATTAATGTTGAATCTTTTGGGTTTAAAAAAGGATTATAATGCGACGGTGGAGTTTTATTGGGCACCATTTTTGGTGGAATCAAATTCAGATGATCCAAATATGCATAGTATACTTAACCGTATAATAATGCCTGAGTCCATTGAGAAGCATGGAGTCAACTGGAAAGGCGTTGACTTCCTTGTTTTCAACACTTACATTTGGTGGATGAACACATTTGCTATGAAAGTCCTGTAAGTCTACTACTTCACAATGTTTACCTCTATATATGTTGTGTTATGTATTTACAAAGTTTGTGAATTGAGATTGTGGAAATTTGATAAATGGATTCAGACGCGGATCGTTCGATAAAGGCGATACCGAGTATGAGGAGATCGAGCGGCCAGTAGCGTATAGGAGAGTGATGAGGACTTGGGGAGATTGGGTTGAACGAAATATTGATCCTCTACGTACCACTGTCTTCTTTGCTAGCATGTCTCCTCTTCACATCAAGTAATTATTCTTTTCTTGTTTTCTTAATTGTTGCTTAATACACAGATTTTAGCTAGTGATGCTTTGCTTGCAATATGAAATTACTGACAAATTGATAGGTCACTCTCCATGTTTGACTAGTGTCACCATTTATATGATTACAGAATTTAGTTTTAGTGTTTGAGTGACATATGTGTTTCTTAGAACTTAATTCGTACTAACTCCATTTAATTGACCTGCTAAATATTATACGTGAGAGTTGGTAATAATCTATTTTAAAAGTTTTCCTTACCAAAATGATTTCAAAATGTGATTTGATTAATTAGAACAGAAAAAGGTTGATCATTCTGTTTTTCTCTGGTTTAGGTTATTGATAGTTTGCCAATTATAAAATCACTTTGCTAATTTTTTTATTTTTAGTATAATACGACATTGTTTTATATATTTCTTTGGCTAGTGTAATCATTTATAAACACCAGAACATAATATTTCTTAACTTGAAAACCAAGCAACTACCAGAAAAATAGATAACAAGTCGTTGTCCTTTGAAAACCCCACATAATATACAAAAATGAGCTAAAAACTATAATCTTTCATTTTAACGAGTTGGTGAAACCACCACTTTTAATTGTATGTGTTTATCTTAACTAATCAAAATATAGTTCATAATTGTTGTTATTATATCTTATAGGAGCTTAGACTGGGAGAATCCAGATGGGATAAAGTGTGCATTAGAGACGACACCAATCCTAAACATGTCAATGCCATTCAGCGTAGGAACAGACTACAGACTGTTTTCAGTAGCGGAAAACGTCACGCATTCTCTTAAAGTTCCGGTTTACTTTCTCAACATTACCAAACTCTCCGAATACCGGAAAGATGCTCACACTTCGGTTCACACAATCCGACAAGGCAAAATGCTGACGCCGGAGCAACAAGCCGATCCCAACACTTACGCCGATTGTATCCATTGGTGTCTTCCCGGTTTACCTGACACGTGGAATGAGTTCCTTTACACACGTATCATTTCTCGTTCGTGACCTAAAAAAATTTGAAATATCTCTCTTTGTCAATATTTTCACACTTTGCTCTATCTAATGGGGAGCCTTGAAATTTTATTATTTTGATGTCATAATTTTTCTTGAATTGTAATTGTGAAATGTTTTTCTTTTTCTTTCTTTAATGGTTATTAGAGTGTCTAGTAGGATAAAATGGAAGGGTCTATTTTAACTGTTTTTTTTTTGTTGTTGTACTCTTAAAACTTTGGAATGAGGTGGATAACAAAGGATGCCAAATGTTTTCTTTTCTGTTCAATTAAGTGAGTAAAGCTTGCTCACATTAACTGTTTCTTTTAACGGTCGATTTCTTTGCTATTTTTTCGGACTATAATGAGTTTTGAATGGTGGTAGAACTCGAATTTAGATCGTTACAATGAATCTTCCAATAAATTTGTAACATTATGACAAAACCACATCTTTTAATCTCTGTACAATCGGACCTTTTGAATGAATGAATGTGTAGGAGAAGAAAGAAGTTAGATGTGTTAGTGGTTACTAGGAACCGACATTCCAATGTAGCCAACTCCAACAACGAAGAAGGCAATAGACTGCAAGAAAAGATACACATAAAGGTATGTCCTCCCGAACACAAAGTCATAGTATCCACATATGAAGAGATACATTCCGACCATTATCTCTCGCCATCGAAGTCTGCACAAATTCAAAATCATATCATCGTTTTAATAGCCATTTCGCGCGATAAATCTATGCGGGAAAAAAAGTTCAAACCTTTCAGGGAAGCTATAGTGAGGGGAGATGAGGTTCTGCCTGAGAGTATTACTCTCTCCTAGTTTTTGTGTAACAACCCATTCTTTAACTCTACTAGTCTCTAGCAGTCCAATAAGAGTTCCTTTACTCCTATGCATCGCCATTACGTTCTCAAATAAGATCCAATATAGTATGAGATAAAATGATTTAGGTGTTGCAATAGCGTTTAAGATAGTGATGGTAGCAGGAATGTAGATAGTTGTCCATTTAGGGACTTCGATCTCCGGGAATATAACGGTAGCAGGCAAAAGCAGGCAGTAGAAGACGAATGTGAAGATGTGTACAACAATCTTCCTCAAAAAGAAGAAGTTGTATATCAAATACGCCTTCTTCCATAAAGACACATTCTGTTTCAAACATGGAACACAAGAACGATAAAGGTCATTGAACTATACTTAGGCTCCAAAGGAATCAGATTTGGGTTTTTTAATGTAATCTATAGACCTGGTTTTTAATGATCTCCATTGCAATTTTCTTGAAGAGGTTCGCTGGACCGCAAGACCAACGATGTTGCTGATACCGGTATGCTTGAAATGAGCTTGGAAGCTCGTTTTTCACCTGAAATAAAACACCCAAAGTTTAGTCAGATCTTTCAGTACAAGTTGAGTCATTGCCTTTAATTGGAAAGTTTGTGATAAAAAACCTTAACATCGTCGACATACACAAACTTCGAGCCGCGTAAATAAGCTCTAACTGCTAAATCCATGTCCTCGACAATTGTGCGGTCCTTCCATCCTCCGGCCTTATTCAGAGCTTCAATTCTCCACACACCAGCAGTACCTAAAGTCAACAATGTTCTTTTATTCACTCAAATTAGGATCATATAATACAAGACACACAAGAGCATGTTTATGGATGTTCTACCATTGAATCCAAAGAAACCAAGTATGGAGGATCCAGACTTTTGCTCCACTGCAAAATGGTAGTTAAGAGACATCTCTTGTATTCTTGTCATACAACACTCATCGGCATTCCCTGTCATGCGATCAAAAGCATAATCGATTTAACAAATCGACTACTGCGGGTCTTTAGCTAACTCGAAAGTGAAGAAGTAAGATCTAACCGTATTTCCAACCGGCTTGTACAAGAGCTATCTCAGGGTTGTGGACAAGAAAAGGAATAGTACGTTCAAGAAAATCTGGTTCAGGCTGAAAATCAGCATCAAATATAACAACAAACTCGCACTTGTATTCATCCACATAACTATGCTTCATTCCTGCAGTGAGAGCTCCTGCTTTGAAACCGTCTCTACCGCCTCTAACCTCCGACTTTATGGTTATACCTTCGCTCTCCCATTTCTTACACTCCAATCTAACTAGTTTCTATTTAAAAAAAAAAAGCACTTCTTTATAGATATTGTAGTAACTGAGGCTAAAACAAAGGATCAAATCACATTCAAATCAGCTCAAGAAGTGTTAAAGGAAAGGACCTGACTTTCTTCTTCGGTCGAATCGTCGAGAACTTGAATGATCATCCGATCCAGTGGCCATGATAGCTTGCAAACCGCTCCTATAGAAAGTTGGCATACCTGTAACAAGAACATGTCACTTGTGAGTTCTCTGTTTTTTCTTGTAGTCAATCAGAGTTCTCTGTTTCATAAAACAGAGTGCTCTGTTTTTATGTTTCAAATTCAAGTCACCTCTTTCTCGTTATAGATTGGGATTTGAATGAGAACCATTGGATGATTACTGGAAGGAGCAAGCTCGATATCATCATTCTTAAAGCTTTCCCATTTGAGAACTTTCTCTGGTGTTCGTCCACGTAATTTGACAATGGCTACAACTATAGCCATATAAGCTGCATCTATGAACAACAACACCGAAATAACCTGACATAGATTCACAAGACGTTTCAGAATCGGTACGAGGAAGATGAACCTGGTTTGCTCCAGTACATATCCGATCACTCCCAACACATCCATGTCGTTGAATAATCCATCAGACAATCTCGCCATTGCATATACTTTTGACCCCACGACAAAAACAGAGAAGAGACAAGATGATTTGAGAGAATATTAGCAAAAATCAAGAGAAGACTTAGAAATCTCCCTCGAGAGATTAGAGAAATAAGCTTCAGGAGGATACGACATTCTTTTGTCTTTCCTACCATCTGTCTTTGAATTAGTAAAGTCTTTTGTTTATTTGATTGAATAGTATATGGAGACATGTGTAATCGTGATCATTGAAATTAAAAATAAATGGTTTTTGATTGAGCTGGAATTGGTTGTGTCCACAACGCACCATGTCTTAGGTTTTATGTTGAGATTTTAATCCCTATTTTTATGGCAATAATCAGTATCTCTGACGTTTGCTTAATTTTATACTAATGTCTAAAGAGACTAGTAATCGTTGCATAGTTGGACTGATTAATGAAAGGTACTCTTTTGAATGTTTTAAATGCTTACAACAACCATTAATAAACCTATCATCCATATCAGGGCCGGTTATATGCATGTGCAACGGGTGCATTTGCACTGGGTCCAACAAATTTAAGGTCCAAATTAATAGTTTTTCTATTATTTAATTATTTAATTATGCTGAAATTTTATAAAATATCTATATGTAAAGGTCCCAAAATTCTATTTTAAAAGGTAATATTGAAGTCCAAAATTAATAAACAAAAACAATAGGTCCAAATAGCTATAAAATACAAAATAGTTTATGAAATATATCCAATTTTTTTTATTAAAGATAGAATTTTTTTTTTGTATGGCACCGGGTCTTGCCGATGAGTGAGCCGGGCCTGATCCATCTAAATGCTTACGTAAGATGGAATGGATAGGCAGATAGCTATCTACAATTTGTTATATTTTTATTTTAAAAAAAAAAAAAAAAAAAAAAAAAAAAAAAAAAAATTGTTATATTTTGTACAAAAGCATTTCTACATAAGAAAAAGGAAAAACTATAAAAAAATTACATTTTATGTTATCTTTAGTCAGGTTCAGGTATATATTCATAATTCATCATTTTAGAAGCAATTACTTACATAGTTACATGTGTGAAATGGAATGGTCACTGAAGACAAGCGATTAAGATTGTAAAAAAAAGTGAGTAGAAGAAATGCGATTAAGATGGGTCCTCTCATAAATGCAGACTATTAATCACATACAACTACAAAGTCAATGATTAGTGGATCTTGTAGTATCAAATTTATTACTCAACACTTTTTTTTTTTTTTAATGTAAAATCGTTATAGTTTAGGTTGTGTTTTGCAATTTTTCTCATCTTCTAAGTGGGTTAAATTATTATTTTCATAAAATATACCGCGTGGTTGTGACGCGCTTCAAGAGAACCCAATCTTCGATTCTCTGCTTAGCTAGCTTCACTACCACACACAAACAGAGCTTCCGTCTTTCTTCTTCCTCCATATGCGTCGCTCTTAAAATCCTTACGATTCACAATGTCCGTCGTTCTCAACGCCGGCTATAGTTCTCCGGTAAGTATTTGCTCTCTTCCTCTTTGATAGCCATATAAGATTCTTCAACCCAGAACCACTTTAATTGTGATGAATCATTTTTTGTTTAGTTTCTGAAATTCGAAAACTTTATCGTTTCCCTGGATATTCCTTGAACTGGGTTTGATCCATAGTTCTCTTTCTCCTTGATTAGTGTCTCTAGAGTTTAAAAAACCAATGCTTTATTGTATTTCTTCGATGCAAAAATCTCAATGCTTTCGTATAATTCGGCTGCTTATTAACAAAAATCTTCTCTCTTTGAAGCTTCATAACAGATCCCATCCTGTTATACCGTTAAAGACTTTGCCTTTTGCGTCATACATATCTCTAAACAGTTCAAGATGGTCACTGTTAAGCAAAAGAAGATTGGTTGTATCTTGTTTGGATACAAACGACAATTCTGTCACAACTACATCCGTAGATTCTTCGGATTCTAATAAACCAGCAAGTGAATCTGTTGAATCAGGCAATGGCTCTGCAAAAAAAGCTCCACTGACAGCACGAGAGAGACTTAGAGCGGCTCGTGTTCTTAGCCGATACACAGAAGCAACACCGAAACCGTCAAAACCCAAAATGGGAAGCCAACTTCTTGATGTGCTCAAGGAAAGTGATAAGAAATCAAAGAGGAAACCGGGTCTACCCGAAGCACCAACCAACATGCTTGATGATAGCAGGAGAGGGATGCCAAAGAGCGGCCTTACATTTGATTTACCGGGAGGCTCAGATATTCTCATCATCGCTTTCTCCTTTGTGTTCATAAGCACAGTGATGTTTGCTACTACTTTTCTTGTCTGGAAACTCGGAGCAATACACTTCAACGAATAGTAAAGTTTGATAGAGTTTGGAAACCATCAGGCAGAGAAGGAGAGAAAGAGAGTTTTGTGGCAAGGATAGTTATAGTGCATACTTGGGAATGTTCATCACTTGGCCAACGCCGGTTTGAGATGAGTGTATATACATATACTGTGTAGTACACATAATTGTGCAATTAACTCTCTTCATGCTTCATTTGCAATTTTAACCTTCACAATGCTAGTATCTTTTCACAAAAAACAGCCCATGTACTATTTGGGATATGTTCTTAAAGAATTCTTCAAATTTGTTCATCTGAGATTTGTGTATAATAGTGTTTGCCATTCTAGCTAAAAGAATTAGTAAGAGACAAGAGCAGCCTAAGCCTCTACTAACAGGCATTGAAGCAATCTATTTGTGCAGTGATAAACATGATGATCACATCTTCAAGAATTCAAAGTTTCAGCTTTGCGAGATCACAAAGCAAGAGCCAGAGATGGATTTAGTCTCTATGTCATCATTGCCTCAACAGCTCATTTTCTAACTAATTGCTACGGAAGTTTTAAAATTTCGCGACAATGGTCTATACAAGATTTCCCACTGAATTTCAAACTAAAAGATCAGTTCTTTACGATTTGATCTGTCTATGATCACTAAGAGCTAGTAGCTACGTTTGAAATGAAACAAGCAAGAGACATAGATTAAATCGCAAGTTAAATGGCGAAGCAAGATAAAGGTTAACATTGATTGAAACTAAGACAAAGGTAGTATCAAATATCTGGGAAATAACTGAAGCAAACGAAACACAAATGCAGAGGGGAAAGCGAAAGACTTGCGGAGTAGATTTGGTCTATTTAGATCGCTGTCTCATCTTTCGTCTCTTCCTCTTCAACCTCCTCATACGCTTCTTCTTCCACTGAGATATAAAACAACACCAGATCCACAATTAGTTAACGGAAAAAAAAAACTAAAGTTAGCCCATAAGTATTACAGATATAACAACAAAGAGAAGATGAATCAGACAATGAACTCAGCAGTCAGTAAGATTGGTGGGAGATCATAATTACCTTAGCTCTCATCACTCCTTTTTGCTCAAAACCCTAATCGTGGCGAGAGAGACCGGAGATGATGAAAGATGGAATATATATTCTCCAAACCCTAGACAATGAAACGAGACCAATGAACATGTAGGCTTTTAACATTGGGCCTTTATTTATTTATGGCCCTTTATTTATTTATGGGCCTTTAAAACAAGTTTAGCCCAATAATCTCAAGTGCAGTCTTTAACACTGTCTTCTTCATTTCTGAAGTTCCGGCTAAAACCCTAATCTCCGACGATGGCTCTTCTCCGGCGATTCGTTAAAGAAGCGAACAATTCCAGATTTCTCCTTCAATCAATCTCGGGACGTTCATTCTCCACCGTAAATCCCAATCCAACTGCTTCACCTGGTCGTCGTACTTGCGTCGAATTCGATAACCTCATCTACGAAGCCGGAAACTCCGGCGACTTCGAAGCCGTACGTCGTCTTCTCAACAGCCGCGTTGTGAACGCGTGTTTCAACACGACCGCAACATTCAAATTCCTAACAAACACAGACTCTTACTCTTCCTCCTTAGAAGATCTCCGCCGCATTTTACCTCAGACCGAGGCCGGCTACACTCGGAAACACGCCTACGAAACTCTCATCGCTCGTCTCTGCAAACTCGGCCGGATCGACGACGCTCTGGTCTTGATCAACGATATGGCAATCGGAAAATTCGAGCTCTCAACCTCCATATTTCACCCGATCTTAAACACGCTCACGAAGAAGAACAAGTTCGAAGAAGCTTGGCGCGTGGCGGAATTGATGAGATCTCACGCGATTCCGATGGACGTGACGTCATATAACTACTTTTTAACTTCGCATTGTTACGAAGGTGACGTGGCGGAAGCGAGCAAGGTGTTGAGGAAGCTGGAAGAGGAGGGAGTTATGTCGCCGGACACGCGTACTTACGACGCGCTTGTGTTAGGCGCGTGTAAATCAGGGAATGTTGAAGCGGCGATGGTGATTCTGAGGAGGATGGAGGAAGAAGGGTTATCGGTATTGTACGCCACTCATGCGTACGTTATTGGAGAGTTGCTGGAGAGTGGCTATTATGCGCTGTCTGTGGAGTTTGTGATGGCGTACGCTGGGAAAGATAAGAGATTGGATGAAGAGAATTTGGGAAGTTTGGCTAGTAAGCTTATTAAGAGGAAGAGGTTTAAAGAAGCTAAGTTGGTTTTGAAGGAGATGAGTGTTAGAGGATTGAGAATGGGAGATGCTTTACGTGAATTTCATGATACCAATGTGTTAAAAACATGATTTTGATCCTAAGAAGGAGAATCACCATTGTTACAAAGAGCAAAACACTAAGTTGATGATACAGATAAAAATCAACTTTGAAGGAGGTTAGTGTAAAACAGTTAGCTTCTCTGCGATTTTTTTCACATGCAGTGTTTGTTGGTTTCCAATAAGAATGTATAAGGTTTCGTGATACAAATGAATCTGTTATTGACTCGTGGCTTCAAGTTCCAGTATGAATCTTTGAATTGTACAATTCTCGGGCTTTTTACATGAAAGAGAACACATCAGATAGAGATGGTGAACTGTTTTGTTTAATTTACAGAGGAGCAAACATTTACAGCAAAGTAGACTTTCTATTTTTATTTTCAAAGACAAGGAGAGGTTATTAACTTTTTTCTACTTTGGGAGGCTTAGCTCCCAATTATTTGGGTGGGGTTAGTTTCGTGAAACCTCTACTTGTTGAAGATGAATGTGGGATCCATTGAGTTGGTAGTTCCAATACCAGCTTCCTGTTTCCTTTACCTCTTCTTTCAGTGTTTCCAAGTTGATGCTTAAACCTAGATCGAAGAACACCAAAATAAAATCAATCAATACTAGTGTCAATTTGGTCTGATTTCTTATCTATCATTGCTTTAGATAATAAGATCCAGTGACCTGCATTTCCTGGTGTGATCTTAAGTTTGTGACCGTCGGGTACTTCAAAAACATGGTTTCCCTGCAAAAAGAGTATAGATTACTTGATTTGAAGCAGACACGCTAATCCATCACAAACTTCCATGTTAGTTTACTTTACTTTACCTCTATAGCTACATTGCTGGCTTCGAATTCTGCATTTCCGTGCAGTATGATTTTACAGGTCTCAAGCCGGTTCACATCGTTTCTCCAGTAAACATTTGATTTACTGTTCCAATCGATTCCTCGGTTCACTACCCTGACGTTATGCAGTTTACACTTACCACACCTACAAATCAAGTTTTTATGTGAATTCACAAGTGCAAACCAATAGACATGTATCTTACAGAGATAATCAAGTACAAGATTCCATTCTACCTTAATCCGTATTGTAATATTGGTTCACCATTATCGTTAGGTGTTGTTGAGCCCATGGCATTTTCAGCAGTGATGATCAAGCTACCATCAACCTATGGGACAGGAAAGTGATTTAGAGTTTAAGAAACTCAAAGCGATAAAAGCTATGCGAAATCTTGTTGGCATAGTAAAAATATTTAGAACCTGAACATTGTTCCATGAGAACTCTGCAATCTCTAGTTGCAGTTCTGAGCAACTGGAAATGGACCCTCCCTTGAACTGTAACAACAACTCATACGATATTAGTCATAATTTCCTAGAATTTCTGAATCAGGAAACAAAAGAAGACGGGCATCTTCTACTGTCAAGAACAGACTATTGACTTACTTTCTGTCTCGAAACTTCCCAAAGAGGGCCGAGGGCAGGATGCAGAAGAATGATATACGGAGGTGGGGAATCAACATATTTATCGTTAGCTTCAATCTGGAGGAGTAGAATAAAACTATAAATTCTCAATTCAAAATTCAAACTGACATGTAAAAGAGATGTATCTATAAACTAACCATGGGGAGTTTAATATCACAATCCGTAAGGAGGTCATATGCATTCCGGAGTATATCCAACAATGCACCATCTGGAGTCTGTATAGAAAGAGAAAAGTTTGAAAATTAAGTTAGATTAAGCTGAATAAAGAAATTAGTTGTATTGAATGCCTAATCAATGCAATGAGACAAAAGAATAGGCAAAGAAAACAAGTGGCTAGAGAAAGATAACCTGGTGTAATGCAGCACTTGCATGTGGTTTCTTCTTCTTAGCTGATGAAGTGACCCTTCTTCGTTCGTTGTATACAATATATGTATCCAGTTTGTCTGGTAAGATCATGGGAAGAGAGTAAGTAACACCTAAATACAGATATACATAAAACAATGCAACTTATTCAAATAACTTTACCTTCTAGACTGCCCTGGCATCTAGATGGAAACTTATTAAAAAAATTGTCTGCTATGTTTTGCATCGTGCATTCCAATCTACCACCCATCACGCTGCCCCAAAAGGAAAGTTATAAGAACCTTGCTAACGATAATAAAAGAAGGGGATTGAATGTAAGAGAGTGATTGGTAATTCCATATAGAAAAGAATAAAAGTGTTTGGGGTCAAAAGGAACCAATATGAAATTATGAATTCCAGTTTAGCTACAAGCAGCAGTTAAGATTTGACTTGAGGTTTCCATTTAAGAGAAATATCACTCGAAGATTGGGAGATATAACAAGGTAACAGAAGATCAGTCAACATAAATGTTCAGAGATACCAACCTGTGATAGTCTCCATACTGATCAATGTACTCAATTCGCTTCTTTGTATTGAGAACCATATTTGGCAAACTTTTTGCATTACTGCTCGACCCAATTAACTCGGCAGAATGTAAGTCTACATATAGAATGTTTGTATTGGCCGGGAAATCAGCCTGCAAACTTCAGAAGTAAAATGGAAAATTGACTTGATTTTGCACTCTGAGCAGAAGAAATATATGAGCATTGAAGATTCACACTGATAAAAATACTAGATTTTTTACCAGTGAACAAGGAAGAACAACTAATACTAAAGACCTCTAATAAAAGAGGAGATAAATTTGCACTATTTTTCAGCTAGAACAGAGATACTATGAATCAGTTCTTGGATATATGCACTTTAAGCAAGAACAAATTCAATGATACAAATATCATACCCATTTGAAGAAGGTGATCTGTTGGAGATTCCGAATCTATCAAATTCTGTGTACTCAATGCACGATATACCATATTCCCACTTCCCATCGAAATTCTTCTTCTCCATCAATACATTAATCCCTTCAGTTGCTCCAGCATTCCTTTTACAGGATGCAAACCCAAGTTTCTGTCACATTAAGATTTTAATAAATCAAGGGTTGTGGGAATCAATTGTTCGCAAGTCCAAAGAGGTATTCCTTTTTCTTGAAGAAGTTGAGAGATGAATACGTGGTTAATATGTTTTCTCAACTAGTAAGCAAGTTAGGAAAGCATAGCCATATATATATCAGTGGATAGTTAACTGCCACACCTCATACTTCTAAAGGAATGTATCCATCATATACTCAAGAAACTATACTACGTGATATAGAACATTTTCTTCAAGCCCAGCTAACATGAGACCATTTGCAATCAACACCAGATGCTCTCTTTTTATCTCCATAAGTGATACATTTAATGTTTTGAATCTATTTGCAGTGTGTGAGTCATAACCATACGATGCAAGCATACCTTATTGTACCGTAAGCCAATCCCAGCAAGGGCCAAGAGGGTAACATCTGTGGCAGCCACAACGTTACTGCAATGTCACAATTATATACAGTAAATTCAGATTGTTCTAATTTATTATATAATGAACCACTTCACAAGGGTACAAGTGACTAACCTAACTTGGCGAACAGTTGCTCCCTTTCTTCCATGATCATAAAACCAGTTAAAGACACCTTTGTCATAAGCCAATTTCCAAATCACACCATGACCACCAGGTTTACTAACTGGCACAAAGGGCTTTGATACTATCCATTGACCATCTTCAGCACTGACAGCTGGGACGAGAGGCTAGCGAAACAAAAACCATTCCATTAACTGTGAGTACAATACTCAATATACAGTCGCAGAAAAAGGTAGCAGAAATGAAAAGAAAATATATGTTTCCGATACCTGTTCAAAGAGTCTGAAATTTGATTGACCTCTTCCAAACCATTTGAGCCTTTCACAAAGCGAACTTACATGCTCATGGTTGTTCTTTGCAGCACTTGTCATAATGGCAACAGGTGTGACACATTGCTTTCCATAAAGTTTGAAGTAAAGAAACTCTCTAGCCTAGCCAATTACGAAAAAAAGGATAAACAACATTTCTAATGCCATGAACAAATACAGTTTTTACCTCAAATTTTCCTTTCATACATCCAAGTATATGCAAACCCACCGAGAGTCACTCAAGAAATTAGTGCACATGTATGTACCTGAAGATCTCTAATAAGTCCCTCCAACAAAGTTCGTCCACAATGAGCAAGCATTGCTGCAGGAAGGCATTCTCCTGTGTCTGAATCAACCAAACCTAGTCTGTCTGCTGCACCTCCTAGGGGATATATTTCACCTAGGTCTGGCAATCCCTAATATGTATAACAACTTATAATCCAGAAACCATACACAACAACTTGGCTTAATTTCAAAAGCAAATAACACAATACCAACCTCAATTCCCCATATTGCCGCCTGCGAGGCATAATCTTCCTTCTGAGTGAGGTCAAGAACACTAGGAGTGTGCATTTCTAAGTACTGGCAACCCAAGGATTCTTCAACAAGATTTGACCGGTTAGTATTACGTCTCTTAGATGATTGATGAAGAAGCTCAAGAACCATAACCTGATATCTGACACACAATCATGCATGTCTCAGCAATGAATATATTCAAATAAAAAATCTCTGTACTAAATGGAAGTTAAAGAGGAATTGGTACCCGATGATTCCTCCAATGCAGTCGTAGAACTGTTCAATTTCTTCCAGAAACGTCAAGAATTTTCTAAAGTGAGTAATCTCCTCTGCATCTAAAACTGTACCAATCTCTCTTCTACCTTTATAGCCGCTACTATTCACATCGAATCGCTCAATCATCTCCACCAATGCGTAGAGCGCGTTCTTCACCGAGCTTCTCACTGTATACTCTTCCGCATCTTGTTCAAATGCTTCCTCGTAATTCATACATAGAGCATGTTCTTGCCCCGCAGCGATAACACACTTAACGAGAAACATCTCTTTCGAATTCAAACCAAGTGAACCTAAAACCTGAGGTAAACCGCCTCGATTCTCGCTGAAGAATCGACGAACTCTGGAATCAGCGTCGATAACCGCGTCCTTCCGGCGTAAATCCTTGGAAACGTCTAGTTTCGCTCGGAGAGAGTTAAGCCGATCGATTTCCGATAAGAAATCGTCGGATTCCGGAGGAGTCGGTGTGGCATACTCGACAGGTACGGTGGACACGTGTCTCACCTGGTGATTGTCACATAGCTGCTCGCTCTGCGGAAATTTCGAGGAAAATGAAGAAGAGAACAACGAAGAAGGAGAAGAAGGGAGAAAGAGCAGAGGTTTTCTGAAATGCAGAGAGGTGAAGGAGCGAGGAGATGTAGTAGTACGAAAGTGGAAGAGAGAGAGGTGATTTTGGGGGTGATGGAGAATCGGAGAAGCTTGAGGATTAGCCATGGCGAAGAAGATGGTTAGAGAAGGAGAAGGAAGAAGGGGTTTTGAAGAGAACCCCAAGGAGGGATAAGGAGAGATACTCCAAGCATATACCCAGAGATCACTGTACGATTGCTTCTTTTCTTTCGTTTTTTTTTTTCTCTTTATTTTTTTTTAATATAATCCAACCAGCTTCGAAAGATTTGATTGTGTAGAAGATGTGTGATTGTCGTGGGTTGCAATCTTTAATCTGACGGTTCAGACGACACCATTTTGGATTACACCGATGGATCATCTTCATTCTTCATGTCGACTACTCCAACATTTTCTAGTTTTTTTTTTTTACATATTTTGCGACACAAACCGGTTTATTTAACGGAAATAAAGATGGTAAATGATAACGGATTAATCAAACAAATACGGTAAGAAATAGCAACAGAAATTTACATTAAAAGTTTGATTGGTTCTTCCGCTATAACCCGCAAACCCAATGTTTGCTGATAGTTACGGTTGTTGTCGTTTAAAACTAATTATAAAAATCCTTTTAAGCCGCTCTAAATGGTGAAAACATGTTAGTGATTGACTATTAGCTAGCGCCATAAATGGTGAAAACATGTTAGTGATTGATTATTAGCTACGATATTTGCATGTGGTTTAGGAGGTGGAGTGTTAAATAGTGGAGTAAAATTTATTAAATTATTCATCGACTTTCCTCAATTCGATTGAGAGATATCAAATTGCGAGCACCATCTTCAACTAAATTAAAATTGAACGAGCAAACCCTGTGAACTATACTTTGATCCGTCGTCTCTATGTTACTTCAGAACCTGATGATTAAACATTTAAAAGGAACAAACAGAGTAACTAATTACAAACACAGTAACCACCTTATGCACACCAAAAAAGGGGTATTACCGTGATCTAGGACTTTTTCTGTTTACGACATAAAAGACCAAATGGATCAACCCAAATTTTAAGGCCGTTATATAAACTAAGTTCCATACATTTATATATATATAGATAGATGAAAGTAGCCGAAAGAGAAGCCAAGAGCTTCAAAGGACTCAAAAACCTCACTCGAATCTTCATATTAATACTTACAGATTTCTCGTGAAGTAGAGTAGTAGTCTCTTCACGCAGTCGACAGAACTTCCAGCTCTGCCCACCAGAGCGGTGACAGTTTTGGGATAGCATCGTCTGGTGATAATCCAGTGATCTCTCGTAATCTCCCTGTGACTTCTTTCATTATCGGTCTCTGTTTCGGGTCTGCCCTTATGCAGCTTTTGATCACTTCACCTATATTCTCAGTCTTGTCATCAAAGCATTCCACTGTTGGATCCACCATCTCCCTTAATGTCTTTCCTCTCAAGAAGTCAGCCAATCCGGTATCTATCGAGTCACCTTTTTTAACCGATTCTGGGAGTTTTCCAGTCATCAATTCAAACAACAGCAACCCGAAGCTGTGAACATTGTCTTCCTGTGTTGTTTCTGAGATGTTTGTATCTATGAGTGCATTGGTGCTGCTTTCTGCCTCGGATGGGCCTTTTAGATATCCAAAATTGAAATCCGCAATTTTGACAGCGTAGTCCTCTGTGAGTTGAACTGATGATGAAAGAAGATTGCTGTGGACTAGAGGTGGCTTGAGTCCGTGCATATGGTCAAGGCAATAAGCTATGCCCATTGCTATTCTTAGCCGCATTACCCAGTCCAAGTGTTCTGATTCTTTATCTGCAACAAAATTAAATATTGTTTCCCATTTTAAATCGACAACTTACAGTGTAAATGACTCATAATCTCATTTGACTAAAGAGCTTTATTACTTACAGTGTAAATGTTCAAAGACTGTTCCATTTGATGCATATTCAAACACCAAGATCCTAGTGAAAGGTTCATCTTCTTCACAGTAACCAAGAAGGTTGACAAAATTCTTGTGGTTTATCTTGGATAACATCTCAATCTGAAATTATCAAAAACATAAACGATAAGGTGATAGAAATCAAAACCCTTCAAAAATAAAAGAAAAATGGTTGACTGGAAATACCTTCTTTCTGAACTGCAGTTCTATGTTATTTGTCCATTCTTTGGCAGAGGCAGTAGCAACAGAAGCTACAGCTATCTCCACCCCACTTGATAGCGTCCCTTTGAACAATGTACCAATGGGACAAGACCCAATAACATTACTGAAGTCTTCACAGGCAGCTTCAATCTCAGATCTTTTGAGTTTGGGGACACCTGAGTACCAAATCACACATCATTAATATTGACAAGAAAAAAGAATTGGAGTTGACAGAGACAAGCATATCGATTAAACCTCAATCATCTAGAACCAACAATGATAGTTCACATTTAGTATCAGGGAGTAGAAAGGCAATTACCAGTTATGAACACTTTCTGAAGTTGACCACTAAGACCTGTACGCCAGGGATTCACAGATTTTCCAGCCTTACTTTTGAAAAAGAAGACACCAGTAGCTAAAAGGAGGATAAACACAGCACCGCCTACGCAGCCAGCCAATATAGGAATTGTGCTGTTTGAAGAAGTTTTGGAGCTTCTTCTTAGACTAGGAAAATTCACAGTGTGCATAAGAGGAGGTGGAGCAGAAACATGTCGCGCAGGAGGACTTTTTTGTGGGGAAGGCAATGTTAAGGTTTTTTTGGTATTAGGTCTTGGAGAAACCGAAGAAGACGGAGGTGTAGCTCTTGCCACAGGCCGATCTCTGAACGTAGTCAAATGGGTGTATGGGTTACGATAACGGCCAAGTAATTTCCTGTGAAAACCAACCGCTCTCCTACAAAAAAGACAAATGGTACGATGAATTTGACTATAAAAGGGAGAGGAAACAGAAACATGTTACTAACTCAGATGGAAAAAATGATTATGCTACAACACTGTCAAAGTAAATTTAGCAAGTCTTAGAATACAAAATGCATAAAACACAGTGTCGGTCTTCATGTTGTAAAACTCAGAAAATAGTATTAGTTCTCTCAAAAAAAGTCATAGAGCTAAAATACCAACTACATTGATGTTGATGCTCAACCAAAATTCAGTTACAAATCATGTCACCAAAACTATGTATTCTACATTGAACAATCAAACTTGTTGTATCAAAAATATACTACAACATTAGATCTTAGCAAACTCAAAAGCTTAATATCCAGAAGTAAAAACACAAAAAAAAAAAAAAAAAAAACTCATCTCAAGTACTAGCATCAAGTTATAAATCTGAAAATCAACAAGAGGTCTTAACCAAATACTTAAGAACTTACTAAAATCAAGCAGCTGCGTTCAAATTCAACAAACTAAAGACAGTCATATACAAAAATCGAAAGCTGATACTTACAAATCCTCGGAATCTGTATCTGACGATAGATCCTCCGTCACAAAATCCAGAAAAGGACCACCTGAAAGCCAAAATCGAAGCAACAATTATGAGTAACTATCTTTCTATCAATGTATAGGGAACCAAAAAAATGGAAACAAAAACCGTAAATACCTTGAGATTTCAACGAATAGCAAGAACCGAAGCTCAAAATCACCAGAAGAAACAAGAGAGTACGGTTTTGAAGCCTTAATCGAAAGGATTTCCAGTTGTTACTCATCTTCAGACTAAAAACAAAACCGAGCAGAAGCTAAAACAGCACGGGAAAGCTGAGAAATCCAAGTCTCGATCTATCACAGATTCGAAGCAAAAAGTTAGCTAAAGGAAGAAGAAGAAGAAGAAGAAGAGAGAGCTTTGAGTTTGAGTTCGCATGGCGGAGGAGACGAATTGAGAGAGCAACATGACTTTTCAACTTTTTTTTGTTAAAAGCGCGTGTCCCCGTGGTTTGGCCCGATAATAAATTAAAGGATACAATTGAGTAAAAGCATTTACTTCTTCTTGTTGACAATAAGAGAAAAAAAAAATACAATGAAATATCTCGTGAAAGAGGAGTATCTATTTCTGTTGAAAGTATATTGATTCAACTGTATTATACAAGAGATAAATACGAGACTAACATTTATCAGTTAGATATTTTTATACATAGTAGTAGTAAAATAGAAGAATCTATGGACCTGAAGATGCCCGAGCTAAAATGATTCAAAAGAAGAGGCCAAAGCCACCGTCGAAAAAGACTTTTGATCTTAGCACTATTGTGGAAAATCGTTAGGCTCTTTTTTTTCTTTTTTCAATACAGTATGTTTAAAAACAGAGAAAACACATAATGACGGGGGTCTATATGCCACGTGGATTAGGATGTGTTGGATATAGGAATGATTGAAGATGAATGATTGTGTTGTGGCATTATGGATTAAGAAAATGTGGAGGGAGTTTTCTGATGACCAATTCAACGTGTAGGTTTATTCTTTTGTTTTTGTTTTCTTGCTTCGTTGTTAATTTCTTCGGTTTCAATCCAAGTCTTTGCCATGTGGGTAGAGGAGTCATGGATGTAATCGGAATATGCCCCATTAATTTATTTATATACATTTTCTCAAGTATTTCTCAGATTTCTGTTAGTGTATAGTATAGAGAAGTGTTCCATAATTGTTGTTTTCACACAGCCCACGTTTTGTGATGTTTATCCAACTAATTAAAATAAAAGCTCAAATATCGCCCCCACAAGTATCATGGATCTATTATCTCTACCACGATCGAATGTCCCTCAAAGTTTTGATCTATCCATTTCTTTCTATCGGTTTGAGAACATAAATTGAAGTTTGTAAAATTTATTATCCATATTTGATCACATCAATCTAAGAACATGTTTGGAATATGTTTAGGAATATCCCACTAAATTTTGTTATATCGAAATAAAAATTTCAATCTTATAAGTTGAACTATACCAAGTGGTCTTTGGTGTAACAGTATAGATATTGTCCCTACAAATGAGTGATATATCGTGCTTTCCTAATTTTAGTGCTGTTTAGAATTTATTTTGGTTTTCTATAGAAATATGTAAGTGTCGGTCCAAACTTTTCAATTAACCATAACAAAAAAAAAAACCATACCGATATGTATACATTCATATGCCAGCTTAATATGCTTTGTTTAGTAATCTAGTTCTTAAAAATATTTTTAAACTATTATCAAAACAACATCAAATATAAGTAAAACCGTAGTTTTTGGGCTATGCTTTTTGAAATGGATCCGAAGATAAATAGTTTAAACGGTTGACTATAACGGTTTCACCGTAATTTGAAAGCCATCGCCCATCGGGGTTTGATTGGATGAAGGAAGGAACAATCAATAAAACTATTATTGTTATGATTTACAAATTCACCGCCATGTCTACGCGTTGTGCGTAATCTAACTTCATCCTTACGTAATTTATGCTGTCTTTGTTTTTTTTTTTTACCTAAAGAGTCGTCACATTCATGGGAACTTTGCTTAAATAAATTGACATAGCTAGTTGCGGCACAATACTTAAAAAGCTAAATTTTCGAGGGCGTTGTTTAATGGGATTAAAAAATTGTGAAACCTTAAAGGGCCCTGCATTAATTAAATTTGTCATTGACTTATTAATTGGTACAAACAATGCATATATGATAGCTGTATTTGATATTTGTACATTAGGACCATACTAAAAAAAATTACAAAGATCTGAAAACTATGAAATAAAGTAGAGTTTGCTGTCTTTCATAAAAAATCTGATATGTGACAAAATTCTAATTATAAAATTTTTGATATGTTGTTCTTTCAAAACCTTATGACTGGCTGGGGAAAAGTGGGAAAATTTCCCACATTTAAATACTGTAGGCAAACTTCCCACTGGAGAAAACATATGTGACAAGAAAGAATTTATATTTTAGTGCCGGTGAGAGCCTACTAAATTCTAAAAACCACTATACTCATGCATACCCAACATATGGGGAATCAGTATACAACTATACATTATATATTAACAACAAAATAATCAGCAACCTCAGGTCGTTTTCTGATCATATTATTAACGATATCAATCTCTGTTACAAAGATATCTAATAATTAACAAACATCAATAACCACTCTTGTTTCTGTACAAAATAACTTAAACCTTTTTTATGTTTAAAATAACTTTAGTACAACAGAAAACCCACTTGCGAGATGCATGAAACATGTGATATACGCTATAATGACAGAGTTTCCTTTGTTTGGACGGTGAAGAAGATTGTTGCTCATTGTCTCATCTTTCATAGGAGCAACAATCCCCAAATAACAAGAGTTTTGAGGATACTTAGAAATCTCATGTTTCTTCTTCTTTTCCTTGGAAAGCTATCCTCTCTCGAAGAATCTTCTGCCCCATATACCTACACATTACAGTCCTCCAACAATCATATTTTTTTAAAAAAACATTAATTTAGATAATTTGATTCAATTGGTTTCTGCATGTGTTTACCTTCCGAGCATCATGATCGTGGCTTGGGGATTAGTCCCTGGAGATTTGAGAAACGTGGATCCATCGATGACCCTCAAAGCATCAATCCCTAATACTTTGTAATTGTTGTCGACCACTTTTCCAACTTGACAACCTCCATGGTAATGATAAATAGTCATCACGGTATCAATACAATACTGCTGCAAGTCGAACGTTGAAGTGATGTGTCTTGGCCTCAGATTGGTGGGAAGGGCAAGAATGAGATTTAGTAGTCCACGCGCACTCGGTGCAGGGTACTTGTACTTGGAGTATCCCTTCGAATCTATCACTTTAATAATGGTACTAAGTCCTTCAACACACTTGTTCAAATCCTCTGGATCCTTATAGTAGTTGAATGTCACTGAAGGGTTATCATCTGGATTCGTGTTCCGCAACTCCAAATGACCTCTCGAGAGCGGTCCATTCGCTTTTTGGATCATCACACCCGCTTTTGTTGTCACGTTCAAGGTAAGATCCAAAGTTTTGAAAAACTTTGAGATGGATTGGGTAGGTAATTTTGTCTGTATAAGAAAACATCATACAAAAATAACATTAAATAGTCTTCTGAATAACAATTTTATATGATTTTAGTCTTGTTTTAACAAATTTTGTAACATTTTAGAGGGTTATTATATTAATTGATTATACCTTTTTAAGAAGCTTCAAAACACCATCGAAGAAGCTACGAGTCAAACTAATAGAGACACTTAAGGCACTTCCACCTTCAATGTAACTTCCAAACTTGGTGATTCCAACGGCTTGTACAAGAGACACTTCTACGGGCTCAGGAGAAGGGATGAAAACCGGATTCATCGGGTTATCACTCATCCCTTGCCCCACCATGGGTTGATCTACGATGACCGGATTCACCCCATAGGCTGCAAGATGAGCCGCAGGGCCCACACCACTTAGCATCAATAGTTTCGGGCTCGCGATGGCACCTGCCGATAAGATCACCTCGCTCATTATTGAGTCTTGCGTTGCCAATTCTGCCTTGTAAGACACTCCATTTGCATCCTGAAATATCACTCCATATGCTTTGGGCCTCTGGTTACCTGTCCAATAGAGAAGTTTCATATCCGGAGCATGCAAACAACTAATAATGTGTATGGTAATGTGCAACAACGCCTGACTGCGACGGATGATAGCGATGAAATTAATAATGAATAAAAAAAAAAAAATCATAATGATAAGCAAAATAATAATATTTCAACTAACAAATTAAACACAAGTTGGGATTAAAAAACAAAGTTTGATCACGTGTAAGCTACGTTTCTCTTTGTTTTTCTTTTTTCAGCATTAACGTCCCTCTCTTATTATGGAAAAAAAAAGGTCCATTTAATTGTCGATCAGTCAATACCTGTAATAGTGAAGAGGATCTTATGGACAGAAGCATGCAAGTAGACAACAATCGTGTTCGGATTAGCATACTCCAACAAATTCGCCGCCGTGTGTCTACGACCATCCGGGTCAAATATCGTACCACCAAACTTCGTCCCAACGATATGTTCGTACGTGAAACCATTGTACGGACTCACACCAGCTTCCAAAAGTCCATCTCTAAACGCCGATTGCCATCCCTTAACCGGTGGTTCGAAAACCACTTTCTTCTCGACCCACTCGTAAGCCGCTTCGACCTCATCTCTCTCCAATCCTGCTTCCGCCACGAAATCTTCTTCTGCACGTGAGTAGAACCCTGCGTTTATGACCGTGCCTCCACCTAGTACACGAGCGCGTGAGTTGAAAACGCCGTCTTCGGAGATGAATAGCTGCGACCATGAGTTTGGAGTTATGTTCAAGAGTGTGTTTGCGAAGTTGTTTATGTCTGAGGCCGTTGGGTTGTCATAAGGGGAACCGCCGCGTTCGAGGACTAAAACGGTTGCGTTTTGAGAGAGCGTTGCGGCTAATGCACATCCAGCGGTTCCTCCTCCGATGATTATGTAGTCGAAGTGAGATAGCTTTGGTGCTGATGTTGCATCTTTCATAAATCCATAGTTTCCAGCTTCACGAAAACATATTTTCATATAAAATTTGGAGTTCATATTAGTATACTAAGGTATAACCAAAAAAAATCATAAGTTGAATGGTTTGTAAAAGGAAACTAATTATTCATGTACCTTCATCGGAATAACACGAGTCGTGGAAGATGAAAACTGCGAGGAGGATAATATGAAATAATCGGAAAATATGGAAATTCATTAGAGAGCAAGATTATATTTGTATGAGTTGTGTAAGAAAGATTATATTTGTTTGGTTCTTTATAGGGGCCAAGAAAGAAAATGCTAGGTTCATACGCTATATATATAAACAACAGTTTTTTTTTTCAAAAGGAACCATCGCTCACGGTTACGGCAAAGTCTTATTCGGTAGTGGCCTGGCTTCGACCTCTCTATTTTGTGGCAGATTACAGTCAACGGATTATAGTGCAAAAATGATGATGTGACCAAGTGCAGCATGGCCGTCCACTATATATATCCGACACCAAGTGGTCAAGAAATGTGAATAAAATGTTTTTACAAATGGTACATGTATTTAATAACGAAGCTATACCAAAGAGTTGGCTAAACTTTTAGTTACAAAAGTAGCAATAATTGCCAAGGCAAACTGGTTGTTGGATTTTTAAAGAAGACTGTCCAAATACTGTTGGGTATTGACAATTGATGCTGATACTTAACCATATATAGAAACTACTCAAAGAAATGTGAACATTCATTGGCTAAACAATAGTTATTATCACATGATCAAAAACTCTATATCTTGTTCTGCATATGAAATAAATCTGCCCAATTCGAAAAGTCGGCAATTTTATAATTTTGGATACAGATACGCAAAATAAGCTCTAAGAGAGTTTGGTTTATGCATAATTACAAGTTTACAACAAAACATGAAACAATCCACATAAATTAGAAAGCTACAAAAACCTAAACAACAAGTGTCCATAAAGAAATTTACCATTATTATCAATCATCCATTCCACTCTCACACATAAAGTTTTCTTTAAAAAACTTAGAAGGATAAAACCACATCTTAATGTTCATATGATATTATCAAAACCTAAGTAGCGCTTTGCATCACAGATTAGATTGACCTTAACCATCTCTGATGCTGTCTCTGCTTCAGAGCATATGATAGAACCTGTCAAGATCAAGCCAATGTCTTTAAAACTTATGAACTTGGGTTCTTTAGCTCACCACAATCTTCAATCACAACTGGTTCAGAGGGATTTCCCATGTCAGAGCCAACATTCTCCATTGCCTTGACCACATTGTATCCATCAACAACTTTCCCAAAAACAACGTGTTTCCCATCAAGCCACGATGTCTTCTCTGTGCAGATGAAGAACTGAGAACCATTTGTGTTGGGACCAGAATTAGCCATAGACAAAATCCCTGGACCTGTATGCTTCAACTTGAAGTTCTCGTCATCAAATTTAGACCCGTAAATCGATTCTCCTCCAGTTCCATTCCCACGGGTGAAATCTCCACCTTGACACATGAATCCTGGGATTATACGGTGAAAGGAAGAGCCTTTGTAGTGTAATGCCTTTCCTGCTCTCCCAATTCCCTTCTCTCCAGTGCACAGAGCACGGAAATTATCTGCTGTTCTCGGAATTACATCTGCGAATAACTCCATTACAACACGACCCGCCTTCATCTTTCCAATCAAGATATCAAAGAAGACTTTTGGGTTCGACATTTTCCTCTGGTTTCACAAAATCCTGTCAATAACAAAGTTATGAATCAGCAACTCATGTATGAACAAAACAAGGATCTGAATTCAGTAAATCTTGAACACCAATTTTAATCCTAAATCTCAACTCTTTCTTAGTTCCAAAGTCTCAAACTGTTCAAACAACAACAATAGCAAAACTCTCACTTTATGAACAACTTAAAAGTACACTAGATGTGCTACTATTGTCTGATTCATTCAATACAAAAGAACAGAGACTAAAATTCTTCAGAACTGATCCATATTGAACTCTCATCGAACGATAAATCATAACATCGAGAAAGAAATGTCCCACCCATCAAAATTGTCGATAAGAAAAGATAAATTCTTATAACACAGAGATTTTTCAAAACCTCAAATGGATGGTTTTAGGATTTTGCACAAATATTGAGCTCGCAGGCGTTTTATATTATACGTTATCTGCAAGCCTTCGATATGTGCTTTTAAACGCGATACAACAAAAAAATTGAGGAGAAGTAAAATAATCAAGAACATGAATAGGGTTCACCGAAATGATATACCTTTGCAGACGGAACTCAAATTCGTGTTCTTAACGACTCCGTAGATTTACCTTCGATGATGCGAGTGAGTATTTATATAACGGCTCAATGGCACAAGCGAAGTGGTGGCTAGGGTTTTACTAGGGCTTTTGCTTGTTTGAGACAGAGATATCTATGTGTTTTCTCGGTTTTGTCCTCAACTTTTCATTATTTTACCTTCCGTAACAGCCTCATCAAAAGGCCCATTTTAAGATTTAGGCCCATTATCTAAACTACCGTCCGATAAATTCAATCGTTTCGTCGGACCCAACAAAAACCCAATTTCATATTGTTTTGCTCATACTTTGTTTCTTCTATCTAAAAATCAAAACTGAAACTTAGGGCCTGACTAGTTTAAACGCAGCGGTTGCAGTTGCGGGAATTTGCGGAAGCGGGCGGTTGCGGTTTCAAGCGTTACCAAGCGTTTTGAACGACTAGTTTAGCGTTTGAAAATGGATGCGTTTGCGGGAGTTTTATGACTGGTAAACCAGCGGGTGCAGTAGCAGTTAAATAAAAAAATAACCAAAAAAATAAAAAATATTACAAAAAAAAGAAATAAAAACACCAATATATTATTATGATAATATTAGAAAAATTGAACATGCTTAATAATTAAAACCATAAATAAAGTACTAAATAATTATTCAAAAATAAAGAAATTTTGTAATAAGATAGTACTTTATGCTGGTTTAACACCAAAAATAGCATCAAGTAATGGGAGAAACTATAAATAACGTTGAATTCAATCAAAAAGCAAGTGAGTTTCTATTTGAGAAAACAAATCGAAACATATATTCAATCAAAAAGCAAAGCAATACATAATGAAAAGAAAAAAACGATGCCATGAAAAATATTCAAAGAGTTACACATGAGGTGATGAATGAATAAAAGGATATATGATACTTACGTTTGGTTCTTGATTTTTATCAGTTTGGGTGGAAGACATTGAGAGAATAAGGTTTTAGAATATTGATTAGGGTTTCTGATGATAACGTGATACAATACAAAGATGAAAGATATATATAGGATTAATATATTTTATAATAATTATAAGTAAACGTTTGATTTTTTTTTTTTAAATCCAACCGCTACCGCCAGCAAGCGTTTGAAATTCAGCGATTTCGAGCGGTACGGAGCGGTTTCTATGATTGGTACCAACCGCTAACAACCGCAACCGACCGCTAGCAACCGCTAGGAGGGTGCTAGCGGGAGAATCAATCAAGCCCTTAGTTTAGTGTCTTCTCTGAAACTCTCTTCACTCCTCTGTTCTCTCAAGAAGCATACCGGTGTATCGGTTAAACTTTCAGGCCAACCGGAATGACCGGTAATTTCGGTAGACAGGTAAGCAGAGGAGTGTACCTTTTGATTTGTAAAAAATGGTATGTATTGGTCAAGAGACATCAAAAACAGTGTTCTGTTGAAATGTAACAAAAAAGGATAAAATGTCATTACCATGAACTGTTCTTCTTGGTCTCTTCTTCGATGCAGAGAGGCGGATCCTTGTCTTTACGAGATTCATAACAAGAATCTGAGTCTGGTTTCTGGTAAATAACGAATCCAACTTTAGTGAATCGAGTTCTAGCCACAACTTTCCAACACATTGATGTGGTCAATGACCCATTGCTGCAAGAGAAAACACACAAAAGCAGAACATTCATAAACAGGTAATACTAACTTTTCCAAACATTACGGTGCCCTTCATCGTGTTGATAAACCAGTGTAGCTGACCAAACAAAAAAAACTCCAGGCTTTAGAACCCGGTTAAGTTCCAAAAGTGGTCTACCACCTGCAAGGCTGCAACAACACATTTTCATAACAGTATTAACAAAGCAAGCAAGTTCTCTGATTCAAAAATTAAGGATGTATTTTGAGTATATCAACCGTATCCATGCCAATGGACTCTGCATCTAGCGCAATGGATAACGTCGTAACCATTATCAGGAAAAGGAAGCTTTTGAGTTCCAATAACAGCCAGAGTAGCGGGAATTCCTCGTTCTAGTGCTAACTGAATCTGAGCTTCGTGTTCGTCTTTTGGAGCAAATGACATTGTGATTACGTTTTTATCAAGTAAAGTCCCACCAAAGCTAGCCACACCCCAACCAACATCTAGAACCACTCTTACTTTCTTCCTCTCAGCTGAATCTTTTCAGAGGTTGGTTTGCCTCCTCCTCGGATACATCAGACTTTGCCAATTGCTTCAAGAACATTATTATCTGCAACAATCTTGACTCCTTCATTCAATATAAATCCACCATTTATCGAAGCAAACCAAATTTAAGGAAAAGATCTGTCTTGACTTTGAGGCCAAGAATCCAATGTTGGTTTACTGAGAAGGAACTGCATGTGGGCTTATGGAGAAGATTTCAAGTTATAAATCTGCTTCTTTGACAGGTTGTGAAGATTAACTCTCAAGCAAACCAATATTACTGATCATTTTGAGTTTGTGTCACATATTTGTGGCGTATGGCTTGAGATTTGGTGAAGGACTAAATTGGCAAAAACAAGAAGAGTGGATTCTCTGGTCGGTTGGACTTGTGCCAATGGTTTATTAGCAAAGAGAAAGTGTTGAGGTGATCTATGAAATCCATGTATGGAAGAAGATGGTTTGTCTAATGAAGACAATTCTAGAGAAGGTTGGTGAACAACAACAGTAGTGCAGAGTCTTAAACAAATCAGATCATAGAAGATGAAGACAAAGTCAACACTCAACAGTATGTATTATAATATTTGACGATTCAGACTTTCTTTATACTCATCATTCTACAGTGTTACAAACAAACAATCTTAGTGTAATCAATTGAGAGAGTGGAAAACTAAATGAGAAGCAATGTCAGATAGAGCTACCAATAGGGAAAACAAATTTCAAATCATCCTTCTTCTTTTTCTTCTCTAACTCTCTTTCTTCAAGATCAATCTCACCCAAGGATACGTGAAATGGTGAGACGATAAGATTTCTTCCTCTCCATCTTTTCTCTGATCTCTTCAGCTTCCTTCTGCAGATTCTTCGACTGCTCCATCACTCTCTCCCATTGTTCTGTAAGATCAGACAAGTCCTTCTTTGATTGCATGATGTCAACAACGGCTTTTAACAGCCAGCCCAAATTGAGACCGGGAAAGGAAGACTGAATGTGTTCAATCATCGAGTGAGCAAAACTGATGTTTTCAATCGTGGCTGGGCTGATGAGAGTTTCAATTATTTTCACCACGGGAGATAACCAGATCTCGTTTTCTGATTGGTTTCCCTGAGAAAATCTTCTGCCGATCCCTGGATATCTCTCGAACAGAGCCTTTCGGATGTCATCTTCAATACTAAGGGTCCTGGTCCTGCTCCTCTCTCGGAGACGTACAGAGGTTTGATGATTTCCTCGAAACACCTGCAAGCAAATCAGTTTAACTTATATTCAGTCACGAAGAAGCACATTGAAACCAAACATAACTAGAGAAGCACATTGTAATCAAACATAACCAGAGAGGAACCCACATCAACACTATTACGAGGAGTGTTGTTTTGTCCAGAACCAACAATGCTTTGATTCAATGGATTTTTCTCAAGATAAGGAGCACAGACAGCATCCACCTAATCAAAAAAAAAACAAAAGAGAAGTTTTGAGAACCCAGAGGATCAAACATAACCAGAGAAGCACATTGTAATCAAACATAACCAGAGAGGAACCCACATCAACACTATTACGAGGAGTGTTGTTTTGTCCAGAAAAACCAATGCTTTGCTTCAAGGGATGTTTCTTAAGATAAGAATCATAGTCAGCTTCCAACTAATCAAAAAAAAAACAAAAGAGAAGTTTTGAGAACCCGCAGGATCAACAATAGTAAGAGGACTCTTGTTTTGAGAAGCTACACGAGAATTACGATTGTTCTTTTGAGAACATATCATCTGCACATATAAAACCCAAACAATTCCAGACAAATTAGGTCGAAACCCTAATCCTAATCAAGAATTCAAATCTATGCAACTATATCATCAAATTAACGGCGATCTCGGGAAATATATATAGCAAGTCGCGACCCAAGAATGTGTATCAGCTCCATTAACGACTCCGAAAAAATTCAAAACCTAAATCCCTAATCTCATCCGATTTGATCACGAACAGAGATTACACGGCTAATGAATCGAAGCGAGATTGATCACGAACTAACCTCCGCTGTTGAACTCATGGTTCTCTGCTTTTTTCTTGTCGGCGAACACATTTTTCTCAGGGATTCAGAGAGAGAGAGAGAGATAGAGAAATGGCAGTTGAAGAGAGAATGATCGGAACAAGGACGAAGGAAGAGGAAGTAGGAAGAATGAAGAAGGAAGGTCTTATAGTGGGCGGGAAGAGTATCTGTGCGCTCAGTTTTGCCCACCACGACGAAACACCCTCGAAACTCTCTTAATATTACAGTTTTGCCACTACCATTTTCCCGCATCATTTTTGAAATAATATCCGCATTTTTTTAATAAAAACAAAATTATTCAATCTTCCTCTCTTCTTTTTTATTAGATACACATACACTAACCAAAAGGTGTTAAAAAAAAAAAAAAAAAAAATACACTAACCAAAAATTGGACCAATAAGAATGAAGGAAATAAATCCTCGATTTTCCACACAAATTAACCAAACACATACATAGGGGTGTCAAGTTGGTTAAACCAAATCAAACCAATCCATATCCATATGGGTTTAGTGTCTAATGGATAATGAATCAATCCAATTCATTTAGCAAATGGTTTGGATGAAACCATAACTCACTTAAATTATTGGATTAATGGATAAACTCATTTAATCCATTTAATAAATTTTCCATGATCTAAATAATTACCATAATTAATAATTATCATACTACAATCATCATCATCATCATACTACTATCATCATTCATGATCATAATCATCATCATACTATCATCATCATTATCATCATCCCTACCAAAGGCCTCTCTTCCTCTATTCTTCGAGCCATTTCTTTAACGAGCTTCAACAGAGAATAAACCGCCTCTACCTCGTTCCAAAACCCGACATCCCCAACCATTTCACCAACCTCTCTAGCCATATGATCCTCCATTAGTTACACGCATAATCATGCATCACAAGCTGAATCGCTCTAGCGGAACTAAGCACATCCTCAAGAAGATTATACATTGATGCTGGCTCTCAAGATTCCTCAATGCTTTACTCATAAACCTATCTGAAACAATCCCAACACACCTCTGAGGTGAATTACTATTGGGAGAACCGGAGATCGACCAAGATCGACGGTCGAGATGATTGCACAAGAATATGAAAATCATGAAAATCAAGAAAGATCTAGAAGATTATCATATCTTAGTTTAGGATATTTACCATTATCTCTAAATATATTATTTACATTTATATTTATCTTAAATTAGGAAATCTCATCTCTATATAAGAGAATGTAATTTATAACTTTATTCTGATGAGAGTCTATTATAATTCTTCCTAAACACTTTTGTGTTCTTTACTCTCATCAATTTATCATGGTAGCAGAGCCAAGATCCTTTCTGTGGATTTTGGATCCGTTACGTTAGCTTCCGCAAAGAAAAAAAAAAATCAGCTCATCTATACAAACTCGTCCCATTGGGTAAATTTACAATCAAAATCACCAAATTCTCGCCGGAGTTTTCAAATTTCCATCCATCAGAAGCGATTTGAAAGAACATTGCGTCATGGCTTGATCGGTAAGAGAGAAGAACGAGACCCTTCAGAATCAAAGCTTTGAAAAACCCTTTGGTGAAGAGAGATAGCGAGAGAGTTCGATGGTGAGAGAGATTGATGGTGGTGAGAGATCGATGGTGGTGAGAGTTGTGAGGTTGAGGAAGAGAGATCGATTCTTCATTTAGGTTTTTCTGCGGTTTACTAAACCGGTTTAGACATTTTATTCGGTTAGATTTGGTTTACATATTTGATTTAGAATGTTTAATTTCTATTGGTTTGGTTTTGAGTAATCCACTAATCCATAATAATTCAAACCATTTCAATCCAATTCATTAAACCCATTAATCCATTTAATCCATTATCCATTAAGATCCAAATTTCTCATTCATTAGATCCATGGATTGAATTGGTTTGGATTGATCCATTAATTTCAATCCATTTTGACACCCCTACACATACACAACTTAATTACCGTAAACATATACATATACCATACATAAAACATATACACAACTTAATTACCTCAAACTCCAAAATTAATCATAATAATAATAATAGTAAAAAGATTAGATTTTTTTTTTTAAACTCCGAAATTAATCATATCACCGAAATTAGCAAGAAAAAAAAATAATGATAAGAAACACAAATTAAAGCACAAGTGATAGAGATAAGAGCTCATATTTGGACTCACATAACATAGAGGTAAGAGCACATCCTTGATGTTTCAACCATTTGAAGCTTATGCTTCGTTTCTGTTGAGATCAGAGACCATTTGTTTATTGACTATGTCTTTACTTGGGTCCCCTGGGACAAGATAATTGACATGATTAGACTTCCGGATATAACTTCCAGAGACTGGATTTCCTTGCTGGTTGGGTAAGGGTTCAAAGCAGTTAAGCTCTTCGCACTCTTAGGCTACTCATTATCCACACTTTGGTTTACAATGTTTGGAGGCAAATGAACATTCTCTTCCATAATCAAATCAATGTACCTCCGCTGGCAGTTTCAAGGACATTGACCGACAAATCATAAATACAATTACGTACCGATCAGAGACATCTGAAGAATTTTAGGAATCTTTATGCCGTTTTGGCGCTACTAAGAAAATCTATGGTTTTTTTCACTTTATGAGAATTGCGTTTTTATTGGGCTTTGTTTTTATCCACTTTTTTTTTCTTTTGGCAAAATTCAATTGTTTAGGTCTTAAAATCATGTAACACCTAACTTTCATTTTATATGATAATTACAAGTTTAGCAAAACAAAAACAGTAACATATGTTATCAAGCTTTTTCTTGTTCTCCACTATATATTTCCGGATGCTAAATGATTTTATGCTGCATGTCTAGAACATCATGTAGCATCTTGTAAATTTAATACGAAATTAAACAAAAATTTATGAAAGTTCTTTCCTCAGTATCAACTTTTTTGCAAAAAGTATCAGCTTATATCATATATAAGTAAAAGAACAAGTAGGTAAAGAGGGAAAAGCTTCACAATAGTAGTAAGCAATTCGTGAAAAATCAAAACCAAGTCCGTACGAATGACAGAAGTCGTGAGAAAAGTTTTCACACCAAAATCATTTATTTATAAACAAGAGAGAGCGACAGAGAAGACGCAAGTGCCGCGCTGGTCAGATTCAAGAAGATGCGGCTTTAATAGACATTTGTGTAACATCTCTCGATTGTATTTGCTGCTGCAAGAAGAAGTCTGCTTCTTGTCTTTGCTGATTCCCTTAAGTCCTTTCTTTCCATTCATCTTCAGATTGTCTTTGCTCTTTGATTTCTGCGGTTGCTGTTTCTTGCTTCTTGTGTGAGAGACAATGGAGGGTAGAGGATCATACATATCTCCAGCCCATGACAAGCTCAGCTTTCTCGAGTGACTTGCCATGCTTCTCTCGACCACCTTCAATGGCAGGAATCAGATCTAGAGACCACACTTGTCTGTTGTTGGATTACAAGAAACAAAAGTCAGCGTTTCTTTACTATTAATTTTAGAAACAGAGAAGATTTTTTTGATCATTGATATATATATCACACCGCCAAAATCTGAGGAATTATATACTCTTTCATGGATCATAAAATCGGTTATGGAGAATTTTACCTAAGCTATGTCCTTGCACAGTTGCACTGGCCAGGGATGCTTTGTATTGTAACTCCCTGGCATTCTTGTCCATCTACCACTAAAGACTAAAGGGGTTGGTTCTAGATGTTGTAAGCAGCTACCCACATATGAGGCCTCGATCACAAGCCTAGAGCTACGAGGAACTTCTAAGTTCAAGTATTACACATGCACAGAAACTTGTTTATCAGAAGTATACTGTATAAAGATACTATTTAGTCTCGCACACCACACCGTATGCAAAACAGGAAAATGAACAAAGGCCGTTTTTTCCTCTAAAACACAAGGTGCAATAGAGAGACCACAACAGAAAGAAAAGAAAAAACCAGACCAAAACAACTGGTATAGTCATGAAAAAACATCATCCAATGTTAAGAGATTTTCAAAAGCACTGCAACGAAAAGAAGCAAAACCCTCTAGGCGGTGGAAAGCACATTCTTGATGAAAGTAGAAAACTAAAACACATTACAAAATAAAATGAAATAAACAAAGACAAAGAAATATTGATTTGCATCACTTGTTCTTTTGCCTTCAATTTTCTCCATTTTCCTCTTCATCCTTGTTTTGTGTCACCTCATTCAGTTTCTCCTCCAACCAACCAACCTTAAATCCACATTTTTCCATATATACAATTGTATGATGCGCATGAACCAAACCAGTCCTTGAGGTCGGCCTAAACAGAATCCCAAACAAGGAAATTAGCATATCGATGAAAATTCTCTTCCAGAGAGAGTGAAAATTCTTTCCAATGAAGTCAGATGCAAAGTCTGGGTGTTCCTTGAAAACAGCGCTAAAAAGTTCCACCTCTGAAGGATGTACTGGAAACCCATGGAGTTCAATGGTAGTAGTTTCTTCCTCTTGCTTAATCTTTTTCAGAGTCTCCTCTGATACATCAGACTTGCCAATAGCTTCAAGAACATTAATCTCTGCAAGAATCTTGACTTGTTCATTCAGAATTAATCCACCATATTTGGCATCAAGTTTTCCAAGGGGTAAACTGGATGCACAAGGACAGGCACGAGTCTTGTCATCAAACCACTCTTCTGTTTCTGTAAAATCACGAAACATATCTTGCAGTTGGGAGTCTTGTTCTTCAGAAACTTGATTCATTATAGTAAACGAAAATTTTGCGTGTCTTCCCCATCCAAAAGGCAAATCCTCAGCATCAGCAACCACCAGAGACAGAGACAGATTGTCATTAAATTTATTTCCCTTGCAAGTGGCCATAAAACGCCTGCAAGCAAAAAAAAAAAAAAAACCATTGAAAACGTTAGGGGACAGAAGAAGCCCTAATACCTAAAAGTGCAGGAAAAGCAAAAAAAAATTAACAACTTGTCTTCTTACCAACTACATCCACCGATCACGAATAAATTAGAATATATATCCTCAGATTGCAAAGAGGAGACATTCGTAAGAAACCATATGATCTTGTTCTCAACTTGATCACCCATTCCTTGCAGCCGCAACCAAAAACAATTGAAACCCTAGATCTGCTTATTCAACCCCGTCTCTTTTATATTTGCTTGTTTGAGACAGAGAGATCTTATGTTTTCTCGGTTTTTCCTTTTTCATCATTTTACATTTTTACATTTTTACATTTAGTAATATGGGATTTTACATTTTCCTTATTACATTTTTACCATTATCTAAACTACCGTCCGAGATTGAATTCAATCGATTCGTTGAACCCAATTTCACGGTGGTTTACTCATATCATGTCTTCTAAAAATCAAAACTAAAAACAGAATCAAATGGAAGAAAAAAAATATTATATTTAAACTTCAAACTTATAGTTAAAGGACACAATATCACAAGAATTTAGCGATTAATTTGATTACTATAAGGCTATACTATCCAAAAAAAAAAAAAAAAAACTTCAAAATTAAGAATATCCGCACCAAAAATCATTGAACAGCCCTAATAAAACGAAATGAACAAGATTTGTTAGAGAGGATGATGAATGTTGTGTTTACGGACGCCATGAAGATTTCAAGCCAACAAGGAATTTGCCTGTGTACATATTCGTTTACCATCGGAGTGATAAAAGAATAGGGTTTAACTTCTTCAACATTTCAACAGTGTCTTGCACCACAAGATACCCTCCTGGTCTTACTATTCTGTCTATTTCCACTACCACCTCCATCAAATCACACCTGAGAATATCAAAAACAAAAAACAACATGTAGTTTAGCTACAGATCGAAAAGACAAAACGACTTGCAATCCAGTCCAAGAATCATAAGTTTTACCTTTGAGAAAGACTGGTGAGAAGGAAACTAGAGTGCAAGAGATCATATGATCTTGGATATGTATTGAACGACTCACACCAATCATGATAAATCCCGATCAAACCTCTATCGAAAATCGTCGATAACGTGTCTTCACCTTCCACGGGAATCACATTCATCACCCAGAGAGGTTTGTGTATAAGAGCAGCCGCAAATCTGAAAGCAAAATATGAACAAATGCTAAGCAAGAGAAATGAATCATTTGTGAAGTATCTAGTGAAATATTGTCTCACCCTCCATAACCAGCGTTCATGTCCATAACATTGTGAATCCTGGTCCAGTTTATAGCTAGACTATATAGGTAGATATTTGACATGACTCCAGACCATAGTTTAGTGTCTTCTCTGAAACTCTCTTCACTCCTCTGTTCTCTCAAGAGGCTAACCGGTGTATCAGTTAACCTTTCAGGCCAACCCGAAGGCCATTTTCCGATTGGACTGACCGGTAGTTTTGGTAGACAGGTGAGCAGAGGAGTGTACCTTTTGATCTCGAAAAAATGGTATATGTATTTGTCAAGAGACATCAAAAACTCTGTTTTTGTTGAAATGATATATTCAAGGATAAAATGTCATTACCATGAACTGTTTTTCTTGGTCTCTTCTTCGATGCAGAGAGGCGGATCTTTGTTTTTACGAAATTCATAGCAAGAATCTGAGTTTGGTTTCTGGTAAATCACGAATCCAACTTTAGTGAATCGAGTTCTAGCCACAACTTTCCAACACATTGATGTAGTCAAAGACTCCATTGCTGCAAGAAAAATACACACGAAAGCAGAACATTCATGAATTATTCTGTATGCTAATTATACATAATGAGGAGAGACTAAGAACAAGTAATACTAACTTTTCCAAACATTACGGTGCCCTTCATCGTGTTGATAAACCGGTGTAGCTGACCAAACAAAAAACCCTCCAGGCCTTAGAACCCGGTTAAGTTCCAAAAGTGGTCTACCACCTGCAACAACACATTTCCATAACAGTATTAACAAAGCAAGCAAGTTCTCTGATTCAAAAGTAAGGATATATTTTGAGTATATCATCAACCGTATCCATGCCAATGGACTCTGCATCTAGCGCAATGGATAACGTCATAAGCATTATCAGGAAAAGGAAGCTTTTGAGTTCCAATAACAGCCAGAGTAGCGGGAATTCCTCGTTCTAGTGCGAACTGAATCTGAGCTTCGTGTTCGTCTTTAGGAGCAAATGACATTGTGATTACGTTTTTATCAAGTAAAGTCCCACCAAAGCTAGCCACACCACAACCAACATCAAGAACCACTCTTACTTTCTTCCCCCATTCAAGAACAGGTAACGTCTGTAAAAAGAAAACGTCAAATCAGTAAACTGAATCAATGTTTTGGTTATTTATACAGTTTACCTTTTGTATGAAGTTGATGTAGTGAATAACACCGTCTTTGAACTGAGTTCCACCTCCAGGGAAGACAAAGAAAGGTCCAGATTTACGAACCCAATTCTGATCTTTCTTATATTCAACAAGTTTCGGATGAGGAACATTATCATACCAAATCTGCAGACACAAAAACAAGAATTTAGAAAGCAGAACAATCACAAATCTTCACGAGCAAGAATCAAGAAAACCTGTTTTCTTTTTCTGCAAGAACCAAAGAAACCGTAACCAAAGAAAAGATCTTACCGAAAAAATAGAAACGAGACTCTCACCATGTCCCTACTCTGAGGCCAAGGAAGAGGAACTTTGTAACGTTGTGGCAAAGGAACCAAACATTTAGGTGCAGGCTCGGGACAATGTCTCTCTCTGTGTTCCATGTTTCTCTTCGACTTAAGTTTCTTGATAGCTTTTGTGTTATCCAGACACGGCATGTAATCTGGACTCTCACATCTCCTCCAATCTATCTTCAAACTCACATTCCATTCTTTGTCGTCTTTAAGCCAATCCAATTCCAAATCTTGATCATTCGGATGATCATCGACTCGGGTCTGATTAACCGGTGACTCCCGAGGAGGAGACGAGTCGTTGGTGGGGCTCGAGATTGGCGTGGAGGTAGGGATGTCGGAGAGAGAAGATCGACGGAGATAAGAGAGTGACAAGTAAGGGAAGAGATCGATGGTGTCATTGGTTAAGAGAAGGATTGTGACTGATACGAGCAAGATTGTGAGAACACAGAGGCCTGAGAGTTTCCGACTTTGGAAGATGTTCTTGATCATTCTTTCTTACGTTTCCACACAACACTCTCTGATCGATCTTTGAGAGAGCTAAAAATAGAAAACAAGATGGGCAACAATAATATATATGACATGTGTCATGCTATTACTTGCTCTGACGTGATGTGAGATATGGAAAGTAATCTTATATCTTTATGACGTTAGAGCAAGCCCAATGGAGGGGTTTAGAGAGATTCTTAGCTCAGAATCCTTAAAAAAAAGGCCCAAATTAAATGAAAAAATGTAAATAAAGAGGTCCATACGTGTCAACTTTCTAATTATTTTTCTCCTCTTCATTTGCGATTTCTCTCTCTCTCGCTCTTCTCTTCTAATCTCCAATGGCTGTGAAACGAAGAACACGGTGTAGACTCTCGATCATCATTGTCGAAGTGTTTCAATCGGAGAACACGGTGTAGACTCTCGATCACAATATGCATGATCGGAGCCGGAGGTTTCATCGGTTCACATCTCTGTGAAAAATTGATGATGGAGACGCCTCAAAAGGTACTTGCGCTTGATGTTTACAACGAGAAGATCAAACACTTGCTTGAACCTGATACCGTTGAATGGAGTGGTCGGATCCAGTTTCATCGTATCAATATTAAGCATGATTCAAGGCTTGAAGGTCTTATTAAGATGGCGGATCTGGTAAAATGCTTCTTCTTATCGATTTTGCTTCTTTATCTCTTGTTCTTCGTTGTTTATGGTTAAGAAATTAGCAATGATGGTGTGATTGTGATGATTGTAGTCTCAGATCTGATGATTCGTTATCGGAATTCAGATAATTTGCATTTTGATTATCTGCTTAATTTCGCGATGTGTTGAGATCGGTGATGTAATTCTGATGTTTGTTTTTGGAGTTTGCAGACTATACATCTTGCTGTGATCTGTACTCCAGCTGATTACAATACACTTCCTCTTGAAACAATCTACAACAATTTCATTGATGCGCGTCCAGTTGTATGTGTTTTCTTCTTACTTCGTCCGTTGTTTTGTGCTTCATTATTAGTTGAAATTGATTGGTTTAATGTGTTGGTTTTGTTAGGTTAAATACTGTTCTGAGAACAACAAGCGTCTCATTCACTTTTCTACCTGTGAAGTGTATGGAAAAACCACTGGTAGCTTTCTTCCTAAGGATCATCCTCTGGCGTGAGGTAATGCCTATTTGTACCTTTCGTTTTCAACATGTTGTTGTGTTTCTATCAATCATATCAATGAATGTACTGAGGAACATGTTGAAGCTGACATTTTCTTTCGTTTTCTTAGCTACATTATGAATGCTTCATTCATTTTTTTTTTGTATTTTTTATATGTTTTATGCCTTGTATGTTTAATTTTTTTAGGAAATTGTAATAATTATTAAGTTTTACCAAATAAAAATATTTATAATTTTTCAAAATTTTTTTTTAAGAAACCCACTTAAAGACTCTACCATTGGACAAAGAAAATTTTAAGGATTCATCACAAACTCTTAATTTTAAAATTGCCATAATTTATGATTAAAAAATGTTTAAGGATCCTTTTAAGGATTCTACCATTGTTGTTGCTCTTATGATTCTATAATTTGATGTGCAAGTTAGTGGATGAAAATATACAAGGACTTTTAAAATAACATATATCTTTTGCCTTTGTGTTTCCCAATTGTCTCAGTGAGTTTTCTATTAATTTTTTTTTGCAATTCCTTGCTCATGTTAAATATGATGTAAAGATTGAAAGAGGAGATTAGGAAAATTGTTAAAATGAACAAGAACCTATAATTTACTGGTGAAAGTTCAAGAATTGATGATCTAAGTCAAGAAAACCAAAAGCTATCAAAATCTTAAGTTACTCTCCCTGCAGTCATTATCAGGGAGATTCAGCTTACACTTAGAGCTCGCCTTGACCCGTTATCTCGTTGTCAATGCAATAATCCTCGTTCTGGTACTCTTTTTGCTTCTTGGTTTAACCTGTTTCAGTTTCGGCGTCGTTAGTGGCTGAGGTGGCGGGTTTTTGCTGTGGTAGCAGGTTCTTTCGCTGTGGTAGCAGGTTTTTTATTTTGTTGGACCTTGTGGCCGTATTGGGCCTACGGGCTTTGTAATGTTTTTTTTATTAATAAAAGTTTAAAGAAAAAAAAAAAAAAAAAAAGGTTTATGAAACAAAGCTTAACATAGCCATGGCCACTTCCTGTCAACATAATCGAAACAATTGCAAGAAATTTTCCCATCCATCCACCGCTTTAGGTCCACTTGCGGTGAAAACAAGGGAAAACTAAAAAGAAATGATATTTAAAAAGCATAACTACAATCGCCCACCGTGGGGCTCGAACCCACGACCACAAGGTTAAGAGCCTTGCGCTCTACCAACTGAGCTAGACGGGCTTATTATTTGATTTCACCAAATTATATTGATAACAATACCAACAGTGTAAATGTTCTCTGTTTTTGTTTGTGACTTCAAATGATAGTGACTTAGTGAGTTCAAGAAAATCGATAATAGTTTTCAATTGGCATGCCATGGTATCAAGGTTGATCAAATACAAACTTTGAGAGTATGGACACTCACACAACAGTCCAGATACTCTTGTATGAGTTTTATTGGGTTACCACTTTGTACTTTCCTTTGGATAAACAGATAAAAGGATGTTTTGGTACCACTTTGTTACCAAAATGAAATAAACATACTACTTTCATGCAGGGGTGATAGAATATCAATGCCCATTACATTATACCCAAAACCACGGCTGATTTGAAATGTTCTAAAGGAAACTGATATTACGAAATGGACAAAACCATAATACTTAAAAACCAACAAAAAAAGTTAAGCTCAAGGAACATAATAATAGCTTGTTTTCTCTCACAACGGAAACGATATTAATCAAGTCTACCTCAAAAGTTACATCTCATACTCAAAATAACTCGAAAGTTAACCAAACTGCGAGATTACAGCTAAAACTCGATTAAGCAGCAGCACCAAGAAGCTCCTGATCGAAATGCCATGTTCCTGAATACAAAAAAAAACAAAGTGTGAGGCACGAAGTGGACAAATTGAGGTATGTGTAAAATTAGTTTTAAATTGATTAAAGAAATGGTTACCATGTCCTTTGCCGAGTCTTCTAAGTTGAGAAACATATTCTGAGATTTTCTTAATCGCTTCCACCTGCGAAGTGATGTTATTTTAACTTCATTAGATTCCATTTTGACAGATTTAGATCATCAAGAACCCCATATCTTTGCCACTAACATAGAACGTGTCTGTCTTTTATTTTACCTGTTCATTCAGAAACACACTCTCAATAAAATCTGCCAACTGGACATCATCGTTCTTCGAAGCCACCTGTTGACCACATTATTCAAATGCCAAGTTGTGTTAAATAAATGACTTGAACGCCATAAACAAGAATTGGACCCTAAGGAGAGAGATGGTCTTACACTGTGCAGGTTTAGGAGCTTTTCATTGACTAGTTTCTCCAATGATAGAGCCAACTCCATGGCTACAAACAACAAAAGAACATGAAATTAAGCATTTCAAACTTCAAATCCAACACAATCACTATATTAGAAACCCAACAATCCTCTTCACTTATAACATCACATCTATGTCAACTCTTAAGAAACTACAGATACTTAGTACTGGAATTCTCTATCTAAAATCTCAGAAACCGGATATGAAGGTTACCAAAGAGAGCATCTCCTTTCTCAGGATGATCAAACTCAGACTGAGGCAGCACCATGGGCTGTAACTTGACTCTCCCACCACGTTTGTTCTGTAAAGGTCAAGGAAACCCAAAATGAAACGATGTTACAAACTTAGCTCAGATGATAAAGCTTATGAGTGATAACAAAATGAAATCATTGTTTAAAGACCTGATACTCCATCAACAGCTCAGCGTGCTCGCGTTCTTCCACACTGGATTCCTTGAAAAACCTGATTAGCAAAAACACCAAACAACTCAATAAATAAAACCCAGAATGAATATCAGCAAAGAGATTTGAGTAAAGTCAAGTATTTCCCGAGAAAAACTCACTTGGCGAGACCCTTGAGGGCAACGTTGTCACGATCGAAATACGCATACAAAGCGTGATACACATAGGACACATTGTATTCAACACTGCAACAAACGAAAAATCCAGATTCATGAGATACTCAAAAAAAGCCAATCTCATCCATATAGTTGAAGCAAAAATTGACTCAATCGACAGATTTACAACACCAAATGTTCAAATCCATGGCAAGAATCACCAAAAAATGTTTCGATCTAAGAGGAAAAACGTACTTGATCTGCTCATTGACGGCGGCTTCGCACTCAGGGGAGTACAAATGACGAGCAAGAGAAAGCTGTTGACCAGATGGAACTAGATCCATCTCCTTCTTAACCTCTTCGAAAGGCTCGAACACAACGCCGCTCAACGTGCTTGAACTCTCGGAAGCACGAAGAGCGAACGAGAGATTCCCGGATTTTCCAGAAGAAATCGGAGACGAAATCGAGAAGAGAGGAGAGATGTCTCTCTTCTCTCCATGAATGTTCAAGAGAGAAAAGGTAGAAGCAGCTTTGAGAAGCATTTTTTCTGGGAAAATTTTGAGATTTATCTTCTTTCTTTGTGAGCAACGAAATTGGAGGAGAAAGGGTTTTGTGTGGCGATTGGTGGTGGCGGAGAAGGGAATATAAAAGCGAGGTGATATGGGATGATGAGGCTCTGGATTGGGACACCTGGATGGACGAGATTGCGAGGTGGGTTTAGGAGCGTGTCTGGCGTGTGGTACTTTGCTTTGCTGGAAGATATTTTTTTATTTTTTCATTGGTATTTGTGTAATTTTGGGCCCTCTTGTTTTTGGACGTTTCTTATTTCCTTTTCGGCTTTTTCTGTAAAGAGAAAAAGAAGAGAAAAGACATTTTTCTTGGTGAGAAAAAGGAACAAAATCAATAATATGTAAATTTAGGAAAGCATTTTGTCTAAATTCTACAACTATTAATTTGCATTTATTATGATTGATATTAAAACTAAATTTTATAAATTGTATTGGAAACTTAACAATTTGATTACTCATGACAAATTATAAATTCACAATTTTCTTTCCTAAGATTAAAAAGAATTTACATATTTGAAATCCATATCATCTTCTAAATATAGAATCTTAGCACTTGCTGCTATAACTTTGATTATACTGGTTTCTTACAAGTGCCTATCTTTGTACTGTATGTGTTTATGTTTTGGCAAATGTGTGAGCATTTTCATTCCTGCGTAAGTAAAGGTACATATTGAAATTGGTTAGATGTTCCTTTTTAGTATATGGTGTAAATGGTGATTTGAAACTTACCTAAAAAATTTCTGTATGTGGTGAATCTCATTTTTTGTTTTACCTTCTTCAAACCCATATTTTTTCACTAATGCTTAAAAGACAGAGATTACTTGATGAAAGAGAAACATAACCAGTTTACACTATATACAAACATAAACTGATGATGAAATGGTTCAAAACACTGAAACAAACGAAGAACAAAATAAACTACTTGGAAGAATTAAAGAATTGCACAAAATCTACTACTACTCTGCAACATTTCCACACTACCAAAACTCTCCACTCTTTCTATTGACTTGTGGAAGCAGAAGCTTCAGGAACATCAATCAATGGTTCAGATGTTGTTGCTGTCTCTTCAGGTCTAATCTCTCCAAGTTGTGTCATCACTTGTTGAGCTTCAGGTCTTGTTGATGGTGTAGGATCAACACAATGCAAAGCCAGTTTCAATGTATTCAAAATCTCATCACCCATTGTGTTCACATCATTCAACAGCTCCAAATCGAAAACCTCATTAGTCCACTCTTCTTTAACCGCAGTAGCAACCCATTGAGGCAAATCCACACCGTTTAAGGCCTCACTCGGAGATTTCCCAGTCAACAGCTCCAATATGATCACACCGAGGCTGTATACATCGGTTTTTGTGTTGGCTTTCTTCAGCTTAGAGAGCTCAGGTGCTCTGTAACCTAACGCACCAGCTGTTGCAATCACACTTGATCCTGCTGCTGCTGTCATTAGCCTTGAAAGACCGTAATCTGAGATCTTCGCATTGATGTTCTCATCCAAAAGTACATTGCTTGATGTTAAGTTTCCGTGGATGATATTTGCGTGTGTGTGAAGGTAGAACAAGCCACGAGCCATTCCCTTTATTAAGCTCATCCTTGTAGGCCAATTGATATGAACATCTGGTCCTCTTGCTGCAATTTCAAAATTTGAAAACAGAGTTACAAAATGTTACTTTTTAAAATCAAACTTTGAGGCTTTAGTGTCAAACTTACCATGGAGGAATGTGGCAAGACTTCCTCTAGACATGTAATCGAAGACGACCAGCTTCTCTCCTTTAGGGCCTAAGTAATAAGCTCTAAGTGCAAGGAGATTCGGATGCCGGATTCTTCCCAAGACGTTAATCTCATTCTCAAACTCTTTTTGGCTTTTGGTGATCTTTTCTCTCAATCTCTTCACTGCAACTTGACTTCCATCTTCAAGTGTAGCTTTGTAAACTGTTCCATAAGTGCTTTTTCCCATAATCTCTGCTGTTGCACACAAAAGATCATCTGCGGTAAACGCCATTGGTCCATCAAAATGAACCAGCTTCCCTCCCGTTTCGCCTCCAGCTTCAGCTTCCGCTCCTTTCTCGGTCTTTGCGGCTGCAGCTCCAGGTCCAGCCTCTCCACCCTTGGATTTGGTTTCATTGACTTTCTTTCTCAGCAAGCAACAAAGCACACAAACAAGGATAAGCATAACTATGAGGAGTGCTCCAGAAGCAATGAGGATGATGTCTTTGGTACTCAGATTCCTGTGGGATGATTTCCTTTCTTTTTCGGGAGACGGTGAGGGAAGAGTAGGACACGGCGTCGAAACGCTGTACCCGCAAAGCAGTAAGTTTCCGACAAAAGAGGACGAATTGAACTTTTGGGACAAGAGAGTAGGAACAGGACCAGATAAGTTGTTATAAGAGACATTGAAGAAGCTAAGGCTATCCAGATCAGAAATCGAAATAGGAATCTCTCCGGTGAGCTTGTTTTGAGACAAATCCAAATGTGTAAGAGAAGAAATGTTCCCTAGAGTTTCAGGGATATGGCCACTAACACTGTTACGGCTGATATCCAATGTTCTAAGCTTAGTGAGTTTGCTTAGCTCAGAGGGTAGGGTTCCACGGATCCTATTATGACTAAAGGACAAGTCTTGCAGCTGAGTTAAGTTGCAGAGTGAAAACGGGAATGGACCAGATAGAGAGTTGTGATCAAGAGATAGGACACGGAGATTAAGAGACTTACTACCCCAAGTGTCTAAGATAGGACCAGAGAGGTTGTTATGGTCAAGAGCAAGAAACTGAAGAGAAGAAGAACGGGAAAGACTCACTGGGATTTGACCAGAGAGTGAATTAAAGCTGAGATTAAGCCTAAGAAGCCTAGAAGAGGCAGCAAGATTCGGTGGAATAATCTCAGAGAGCAAGTTATTGCTAAGATCAAGCGTTTGAAGGAAACGTGAAACGCCGAGAGAAGCAGGGATCGAGCCAGTGAGACGGTTGTTGAAAAGCTGGACTCCTCTAAGATTAGGAATGAGTCCCAATGACATTGGAATCGAACCTCCAAGGTTGTTGTCATGAAGACTAAGCTTACGAAGAGCTTGAAGCTGTCCGATTTTCTCCGAGATTCTACCTCCAAGACTCTTCCATGGGAGTTGAATGACAATGACTTGACCTTGAGCACATTTAATTCCAGACCAGCCTCCAGAGCAAGCACTCAATCCAGAACCGTTCCAGCTTCTCAAGAAGCCTTTTGGATCAATCAGTTCTTGCTTAACTGCTTGAAGACCTTGGTAATCAGCTTGTGTGATCACTACACCGTCCCAGGTTTGGCTGGAGCAGGGAGGGACGAAGAAGAGGAGGCTTACGATGATTAGGTGAAGGAGAAATCGGCTTCGAAGTGAAGCCCTAGGTTGATCAATAGTGGGGTTGATCATTCTCAGAGAAGTAATAGCTTGGTTTTGGGTAATAAACTCCATTAGAAGATGAAGAAGAGAGAAGAAAGATTGAGATTCTTTATGGGTGAATAGTAGTTGTTAGGAGGATGGAACAGGGGAAGATTTTGGATTTGAAAGAGTTATGTAAAGAGAGAGATGGGTTTTGTTGGAAAAGAACAACAGAGCACGTGACCATCTTAGAGAGAGAGAGAATCTTGGTGTTTGTTCTTTTATCTTGTAGTGAGAGGGAGAGAGAGAAGGGAGACAAAGATCAGGTGATGGTAATAAGAGGTTGGGTGGTGAGAACAGTGGCTCTCTCTGCTTCTTGCCTAATACTAAATGAGCTCCAACGGCTAGTTTCATTTATTCTTAATTAATAGTGTGTTTTGAAACACTTTGTTTTGTTCGATGGGTTCTCTTGCTCATATCATTTTGTTTAGTAAAATATATCAAGTTCATTGGGGATTTGGAATTACTAATTTTCTAGGATTTGTAGATCTTGTAAACACATAAAGGTATATTTTATTAGTATCAAAAACGATAAAAAAAAAATCATTAATCACTACAAACATGTTGGTTCTGACAAAGATGATAAATTACTATTACAGAAACAAAATTTTTGATTTGTCAAGAGTATTATCATGCTTCAAATTTGAACCAGTAATATGTTACTTACATTCAAATTTACTCGGTTGTTTTGTAACTTTTGTGATTTCTTGGAATCTTTTCTTATAGCTCTTTAGTTGTTTGTATGTGAGATCAACATTATTTAATTTTATTCCAAATCTAGGATGTTATTCTCTTGTACCCTTTGACCAATAAAACATTTTTCATATACTCCTCAATGGTAGAAAGACAAAATTACTCTTAATGAGGATTGATTTTGGATGATAAATGTTAAATACAATTAAATCGGTAAACAAACAAAGCAGACAACATAATTTATTTATTTTTTTGTTTTGCAGACCAGCATCGTTTAATGCGCCGGAGCTGCCTAATGGACACGACACACGAACACCAAACCGCTCCGCTCCTTCACTTCTCCTCCTAACGGCTATATTTGTGGGACCTAAAAGCCATTGGATCACTAGATCTTGTGAAGAAGCCCAAAACAAGACCATTTCATTCATGGTTAATGACTAAACTGCCCTCGTTAGTGGAAAGTAATAAAGTAGTAGTATAATTTTAGTCTTTTAGAAGAAGAAGCCACACGCGTTTTCAAAAAAAAAAAAAAAAAAAAAAAAAAAGAAGAAGAAGCCACACGACTTCGAAACTTGAAAGTGAAACTTTTCCCGGTTTGGCTTACAATTAAAAAAGAGAAGAAGTTGCCGTACGAGGTTATTATGTTGACGTTGATCTATCTTTGCCCTTTTTAACTTGAGGTAGTTGCTGGTTGGTACACGTGTACCGCTGGATCTAACCCGTTTGCATTTTCCCATCATCTAGATTTGGAGGTTTTGAACTTCAATTTTTGAAAATTCTTGCGTATACATTTTCCAATTCAAACACATTTTCTGAACCTATACCAAGCCTGAGCATATGATTTTATAACATATCATCTCTATAATGACATATCATTCCTGTGGTTGCAAGAATTGAAACAAGATGGTCTTTGAAGGGATCTTCTTAGACCCGGGAATTGAAGGCCAAAACTATACCAGGTTGCCAAATTCTCAATCATAAAAAATAAAGTCAACTATGCACAAACCATCAACATCTCCAACCCCAAAGCAAAGCCTAATTTTGTGAACAATAAACCAACTAACAATGCCCTACTCTTTTAGTCGGAATGTCGGATCACCCTCATGTTCCCCAAATCTGTTGATAAGTACTATATTTCCAAAAGTGGGACTATGAGCAAATTGGCAGATTGATTCTAGTTTGGCAGACAAATTGTTGATAGCCTTCGTTTCCCTATTCTTTACCTTCCTTTTGGTAGCAAACAACAAAGCCAACTTCAAATCCCAAAACAGTGAGCAATATAGGAGATAACCGCAATTAAAAGAACTAGCCACTAAGACCATCGATGCAACAGCTATGAACACTAAACTAATAAACGCAAAAGATATTCCATGTGCGTTGACATTGAAAATAACACAGATCTCAAACAAGAAGATGACACAACAAGTGTTTAGACAGTTTCACTAGTTATACTCCAAAGTGACTAGCTACTATCCTTTACAAGCCACAATGAAATGGATCATGTAAACAAGGAACAAACACCAAGAAGTATATATATAGACACTCTACAGATTTCACCTAATTAGTTCAAACACCATTACATCATTTTGAAACTACAAAATTTTCTAGCTAAGTGCTTTCAGATCAAACTATTATGTCACTGAATTAACTGCTAAAGAACCCTGAACGCAAATAGAACTCACCATTATCACCCCAATTGCAGCAATATCCTTATTCGTTTTGGTGAGCAATGCTCTGAAAGTCACAGCTACTCGTAAAGGAAACAAGAGAACAAACCAATTTAAGCGAGATGGAAATTTAACAGTGAATCCCACAATAGGAGACCAATAGAGAAAGATCAACTTTTGAGTTTTCTACATCTGAACATAAAAGTGTCGAGCCACCAAAGAGATAAAACAACACAAGTAGAAGCAGATATTGCAACCAAAAATTCGTACTTCTAAATCTGTAGAGCTTCGTTACGAATCTACATTCAATTCAACAACACCAAATCCCTAAAATCAGTACGGAGTTACCAACCACAATTGAAGAGATCTGAATCAAATCCAGCTCTTAGACTCTCCCTGAGACAGCAGCAGCAGCTGAGGTAGCAGAACCTCCAAGGAATGAGAGTAATCCAGCATTCGCAGGCTCTTGATCGTCCATGAAGAGATCATCCGGAACCACAAACGCACCGTGTACGCAAACGATCGCAACACCAATCATAAGCGCGGAGGTTAAGAGAGATCCAACGCTCGTCATAAACACGACGACGATCGTTGACAAGACCAGAGCAAGTAGCGTCTCTCGATCAGAGAAAGTGCGACCGAAGATGACCAGTGGCTGATCTGAGGGACGGAAAAGGTAGAGAAACATCCAACCACCTAGGAGTCCGATGAGGACAAGGAGGGAGAGAGGATGAGAGAAAAGCGAAAAGGCGAGCACGAGTGACACGATTGCGACGTAGTTAACCTTGAAGTAAGCGAGATTTTTCCTGATCCGGGACAAGGCATCGGTGAGAGATTCAGGTCGAGCCATGGAACTCCGATCGATGAGCTCCGTCCATGGACGACGCTGTGACAAGCCATCACGGATCGAGGTAGAGAGACGTGAGAAGAAAGTACGAAAAGCAGGTGTGTTGATTGGTGGCTGAGATTGAACAGCTTGCTGATTGGTGACAGGTAGCGTGGGTGGAGTTGCCATCGCGGTGGCGCGTGAGGTTTGGTGCGGCTGATTTGGCCGAGAGGTTTGGATCCGTAAGTGTGAACGAAAAAAATCAAGGGCTGCGGTTGCCGAATCAGAGCTCCGTGTAGATTAGATATTTTAGGGCCTGAATCTGACCATAAGATTGAACCGGCCCAAAACCACAAATCGATGGTTCGATTCCTGCTCTTGCTTTTTGAACTGTGTTTTATTATTATTTTTTGGAATTTGTTTTTTTTGTTTTTTAAATCAAACCCTAAAAAACCGAGAGAGCACGACTAACCTTGACGGCTTCACTGACGGTCTGGTGGTTCGTTCTTCTTCTTCCGCCGATTTCTTCACTCAGCTCTTCTCTTCTTCTTCTTGTCTTTCTGATACTTGAACATTGTAAAACGACACCGTTAGCACCATGTTTGATGAAAGCAAGTTCGATGTCAATCTCAAGCTCTGGGCTCTTAGAATTCCCCGGGAACTCTGTAAAAGCGCTACTCGCATTCTCAATGGGTACGTTTCTTCAATAACTCAAAGGATCATCTAGCTTTCAATAATTTGTTTGTGTACTTATTGATGAAAAGGAAGTTTCATGGTTTGATTACTTGTAGATACATGCTCAATATGCCACGAGTTAAGCCCATCACTGAAGATCCTACCTGTGAAAAGACTCGTTTGGTGATATTGTCCGAAAGTGTTAAAAATGCTGGTAAGAGTTAATTCTATCTGGTAATGTGTCTCGGAAGTAGTGTGATTATTCGTATTAACCAAGTTTTTCTTTGTTATAGGACAGATTTGGTGGAGATACCCGATGAAAAACTAAACCAGCTTAAGAAACTAAGTGAACTTGAAGTTGTTCCTCATTCGGTTACTCTTGGGTATTCCTATTGGAGTGCAGGTAAGACACCAAACTCATTAGGAAGATTCTTTCCACTCCGTTTTGTATTATGGAATTACCAGGACGTTTAGAAGAGCTAATTTTTCTGCATGCTATCCTTCTGGTCTGTTTGAAACAATCTTCTCTTGAGCTCTTTCATCTAAAGCTTTTTTAGAGTTTTTATACATATGTACAAGAAAGTTTGGTCACCATTTTCTTGTAACTTTTGTTCGTTCGTTTTCTTCGTCGATTGGTTTGTGGTACCCTGTCATTTGATAGCCCCATTTTACTAATTATCGCCTTATGTGATGGAATCCAACTTATAGGCTATCGTAAATTTTCTAAATTGTTTTTTTTTCTGGTTCTATTTACCTTGATATTTGTTTATTTAGGTCCCTTTTCTGTTTAGGTGATATAAAACCTTCTGATATTGTTCTTTCCTCGCAGATCACATATTGAAGCAGATTCTGCCAGATGGAGTGGATATACCTTCATCTTTTGAAACAATAGTTAAGTATTAAATTTCTGTTTGCTTCTTGAACTTGACAACCTAGATTATAAGAATTCGGTTTGCATGAGCTTGCAGCTTTTTTGCACATTTGTTTATTTTTTCTAGTCTGCAAATTTAGAGATTGATGGGTTCTTCTTCCTAAGTTTTCAAGTATCATGATGATTGCCTCTTTCATGAGAACCAACATCTCTTTGCTTATTATTTGCCGGTCATATTGCCCACTTAAATCTGCATGATGAGCTCCTTCCATTCAAAGATGTTATAGCAAAGGTTATCTACGATGTAAGTTTTTTTGATGTTCCTTTCATGATACATTTTTTTTTTATAATTGCATCTCGTGTCATTACAGCAAAGACATCTAACGTTCTGGTGGTCTGTTACATACTTACATTTGTAGAAAAATTATCCAAGGATCAAGACAATTGTGAATAAAGTCGGGAGTATCACTAATGAGTTTCGAGTGCCAAAGTTTGAAGTGCTAGCTGGCGAAAATGGGATGGAAACAGAAGTAAAACAATATGGGGCAAGATTTAAGCTGGACTATGGCTTGGTTTATTGGAATTCAAGATTGGAACATGAGCACATGCGGCTTTCATCTTTGTTTAAACCTGGAGAAACCGTGTGTGATATGTTTGCTGGTATAGGGCCTTTTGCTATTCCAGCTGCACAGAAAGGATGCTTCGTTTATGCAAATGATTTAAATCCAGACAGTGTTCGGTACTTGAAGATCAATGCAAAGTTCAATAAGGTTGACGATTTGATTTGTGTACACAATATGGATGCTCGTAAATTTTTCTCTCAGTTGATGGCGGTGTCAACTTGTGAGGGTAATTTGCAATCAGTGGCTGATAATGATAAAACAAAGGAAGCAGCCGTGAGTCGAGGAGGTATTTCTTTTGGTTTAAACTATTTTTTTGCATTATAGTTGGCATATTTTGTTTTACAGGAGAAAAGAATAACTTTAACGGTGGGTTTCTGTTTACCTTGCTTAATCATAGGTGAGACTAATTCCAGTGGAGAGGAGATACATGAATCAAATGCGAGCAGAAATGAGCCTCTTAGTGCAAATCAGAAGCCATCTGGTACTACAGAGACAGGTAAGAAATGCCTCATAATGATTTCTCCAAGACATTCTATTAGTTAATATTGCCTGGGGATCCTCACCAGTATGTTAATTGAGTGCAGAAAATGGGGTAGGAAAAGACTGCAAGAGTATAGAAGGACATGCAAATAAGAGGTTGAGACAAACGTTGCTTCCAATCGCAAAGCCGTGGGAACATATCGACCATGTTATTATGAACCTTCCAGCATCTTCCTTGCAGTTTCTTGGTATGCTATCAATGATTCTAGATTTTTGTTCAAAATTTGGGACTAGAGTCTTGCGTATACTTGAAAGTCATTTTACATAAGAAACTGCACCTCATAAAATAGAGATCTTAATTCAGTATACTGGTTGATTGTTACATTTTGATGTTGTTTATGTTATGTGAGAAGAGGTTTTCATCAAGTACATTCCGTACAAGCAAGTTAATTAGGACCAGAATCAATATAAATAGGAGCTGCATCATGTATTAAGGCTTGTTTGAATATCTATTTGATTTTTGTGTGATTTGTTCTTCAATTCTAGTTAGAGGTAATAAAGGAACTCAGGATCTGTTCTTATTATATTACTAATGCATATAAGCTCTGTAATTGTTTTTGCAGATTCTTTCAGTAATGTTATTCAAAAGAAGTATTGGAAAGGATCTCTTCCTTTAATTCATTGCTATTGTTTCATCCGTGCAAGCGAAACCACAGAGTTTATAATTGCAGTAAGTATCAACCACTCCCTCCTGCTTGTCCCTTGTAGTTTTGTTTTCTTCACTATCATATCTTTGTACCATAGATCTGGTAGCAATTTTTCGGCATGCCTTGAAATCTGAAATACAGCTTGTGTGACAATTTTTAAGGAAGCTGAAACTGCTTTGAAGTTCCATATAGAAGATCCAGTCTTCCACAAGGTTAGAGATGTTGCTCCAAACAAGGTAAGATCCTACTCTTCTGTTTTTCTTTTTTGATATATTATGGAAACATATCATCTGGAGTTCCTGAGCTAGATTTCTTATGTACTTTGCAGGCTATGTTTTGCCTAAGCTTTAGACTACCTGAAGCATGCTTGAAGCAAGAAGACTAAAAGACATTTCTAGGAAAGAATCAAAAACGCATTTGAAATCTTTTCTTTTTTGCTTTTGGCATTGTTTGTTGATTCCATGGCACATAGAGTCAGCTACTGCATAAGTTCTTAAAAAATGAGGACACTTAAATTTGCTCAATAGTATTAACCAGTGTTCTAAAAAGCGGTCTAGGCGGTCGCCTAGGCCCCGACTAGGCGCTAGGTTCTTATGCGACGCCTAGATAACCGCATTGACCGCTTAAAATTACATATAAGTTGTTTAATGTATTTTTTCAATTTCAATTAGAGTTTTATTTATATATATAGTTATAAATATTTATATATTGTTTAATATAAATATAAATAAATGTTTTATTTAGTTTTTGTTTATAATTTCATAATTTTTAGTTTTATATAAATATTTTATATAACTTTTATATATAATATCATATTTATAATATTTTATGTTATAAACGTCTAAACCGCCTAAAAAATCGCCTAGTCCCCGATTAGACGTTCTAGGTGCTAGGCACTGGGTCACCGCCCGCTTAGCGCCTAGCGCTTTCTTCAACACTGGTATTAACAGAAGCTGAAGACTTTGACAAAATTGATGATAACATATAAAAGAAAGAGAAGAATATGCCTTTGTTTAATATACACTATTTGAGTATTGACAATGTCACATCTTCACGATTAAAGTACGCCCTTTTTGTTAGTATCCCGGCGCATGTTAGGAAAGGATAGTGACGGACCGTAGTGTTGTAGTAGATGTGGCGGACGGAGTAACCAAAGAAGAAGGCCGCTCAAAATAATTAAATTTGCTCAACTGTCATCTTCTTCAACCGATCTTAGCTCAACTAACCCATTGTTCTTTTTGGCGTTAACTCAATCAACCAAAACCTTTTCTCCTTTCTAGCTCACGCTTTCTTCTTCTTCCAATGGCGTCTTCTGCAGCTCTCGGATCTCTCCATCGTGAGTTTCTCGCTCTCTCACTCTCACTCTCTCTCTGGCGTTTTGCTTTTTTCTGTTGATTTCAAGAGGATAAGGAAAACTAGAAACGGAGGAACATGAGCGAATTATCGGAAATGAAATGCATAAATTGGAGCTATCCGTTAGTGACGTTGTTGCTTCTTAGAGTGTAATTTATCCAGTCTTACGATTACTTGCTAACGTTTTCATGATTTGATAGATCCGATCTCTGTGTGCGAATTTGGCATTTGGCGACTTAATTAAGTATCAATTTCGGATCTTGTGTGTCTAATTTTGTATCAGAGATGTTTCCATTGGTCTTTTCTTTAAGTGCTTTGTTTCAGCTGGAAGGTGGATTTGATACTTAAGTGTCTTGCTTCATTTTACAGAGACTTTAGTGTGCGCCATTAATTCACAGAGTGAGGTTCACTCTCTTTCTGGAAACTGGTCTGCCTCTGGTAATTCTTGTGTACCACGGTGGAGATTATCCAACAGGAACAGCAAGTATACGCTTGTGTTACGTGCTAAGGCCGCTAAATCTTCGACAGCAACCAAAAGTGATGGTGAGTTTTTCTCCCACAATTCTTCTTCGTGTTCATTTTTTCTGGTTAATGCCTTTTTAACTACCAGGCTTGTCTTGTCACTTATCTAACACGATCCATTGGCCAAAAATGGTATTAGTCTCTTTTGCTCTTAAAGGAACTGGAACTGTAATTCTTAGTCTCTTTTGCTCTTAAAGGAACTGGAACTGTTACCAGGATATACAGTGATGTGAATATTGGAACATTTTTTCTTTCCTTTCCTTCACTTTTGCTCATTTTTGGTTTTGCAGATTCATCTGAGGCTAGTGTGTCAAACGGGAAGAAAACTGTTCGACGGATAACTTTCCCGAAAGAAGTGGAGGTTTCTTCCTTGCCTTTTTTGGGTTTAGACATTAGGTTCTTTAATTTATAAGTTTGGTAGGTGATGATTTGACGATGTCCTCATATATGCACTTTCTAGATCGTCTTGGATGCATAACTTCAGGCAATCTACTCTTATAATTTGTTAATCATGACGTATGGACCTTTCTTATATGTTGTTAGATGAATTGGATGTTTACTTTTGAAATGTTGCAGGCACTGGTTCACGAGATGTGTGATGAAACTGAGGTTGCTGTGCTGCAACTTAAGGTCTGGCATTAGTTTTAACTTCACGATTTTTGTTAACCTTTCTTTGAGGCTATACGAAGGCGAGTGCATGTTACTCAACCAACAATATGGAGCTAAATATCGCTGATTTGAGTCGAGGCTGATACTAGAATGTAGGTTCCAACAATTACACTCTTCTGAAACTTTCTTTTGCTACAGGTTGGAGATTTCGAGATGAACCTAAAACGGAAGATTGGAGCGGCCACAAACCCCATTCCCATGGTGGATATATCTCCAACCATAGCTCCTCCTATTCCTTCTGAACCCATGAATAAATCTGTTTCTTCAGCTCCTAGCCCATCTAAAGCAAAACCTTCCTCTGAAAAAGTGTCTCCATTTAAGAATACATCATATGGGAAACCAGCAAAGTTGGCTGCTTTGGAGGCATCTGGATCTAACAACTATGTTTTAGTCACATCTCCCGCAGTATGAGATCTATCTCCTAAGTGATTGCTTTCATAGCCCTTAATTTCTCTGCATTTTTCTTGTTTGATTTGATCTTGTTTCTTCTCTTACCAAACAGGTGGGCAAGTTTCAGAGGAGTAGAACTGTAAAAGGAAAGAAACAATCTCCTAGCTGCAAAGAGGTAAACGACTCTAAATTCTTGTTCATCTCTTAAAATAAAAAACCACAAATAGGATCAAAGAGCTAAGCAAAAAAAATTCTTCAGGGTGATGCAATAAAGGAAGGCCAAGTTATTGGATACTTACATCAGTTGGGAACAGAACTTCCAGTGACGGTAATAGCTTAGCTATGTATCCATCTCTTCTTTGAAACTATCAAATCAGACTCATCGATTTTGCTATTTGTTGAGCAGTCGGATGTAGCTGGGGAAGTCCTTAAGCTTCTTTCAGATGACGGAGGTATACATTTGAGTATTTCAAACCGTTTCAGTTAATACGAACATTCGGAAATTACATAAGAGAATTGATATGAACTCATGCTTCATGTGAAAACAGACTCTGTAGGTTATGGTGATCCTCTGGTCGCGATCTTGCCATCTTTCCACGACATCAACATCCAGTGAGGACGGTTTCTTCAGCCCAATTCCGCATCAAATGAACAATCTTTCATCCGGAGACTGTACTATTCATCTTCTCATGTGTTTGTTTAATGGAGATTTGTAATCTCTTTAGTTGCAAAGAGTCTATTTTGATCTTGCTCTCATCATTTGTCACCTAACCAGCTAACCTTATGGTTTTGTCACGTAATGTGGATTTTCTGCACCAGAGAAAAAACTTTTGTGGAGTTTTTATAGACATGACGTGGCCATCTTATCTTCCCCGATCATCATATAAAATCAAGACTCAAAAATTCAGAAGAAAATTGACGAATGTTTTTTATATATAATGGTGAAAGAAAAAATGTTAAAGTTCGTCGGTTTTATTATTCGTATCGCTCTAGCAATGTATGTGTAGCAAGCTGACGTGTACAAACGGAGCTCTCTTCTCTTCTTCTCTGAGAGAATGAAACTTACCACAAATGATCTCTTCGCTTCTCAACCATTATTCCACTGCCCCTGCTCCTCTTCCTCTCGTCGCCGCCGTTTCCATGGCCTTCATCTTCCGATCAATCTCACTACTGAGAAGAATAACTCACTATCCATCGTTGCTCTTTCTGATTCCGATGTTCCATCCCGAACCGCCGTCTCTCGCCGCGCTTTTCTCCTGGCCCCGCCACTCCTCTCCGTCGCTGCTTCCCTGTTTCTCAAGCCGTCTGTCTCTTTAGCCACCGAGGCGAGCTCGTCCGCTACAGTAACTTCGCCTGCGGAATCAGCAGCTCCTCCTCCTCCTGCGACCGCCACTGCTCCATCGCCGCCGCCTGCACCCGTGAATAAGGAAGAGACTATAACCTCGAGAATCTATGACGCTACGGCCATTGGTGAGCCGATGGCTATGGGAAAAGATAAGAAGAAGGTCTGGGAGAAGCTGATGAATGCCAGAGTTGTGTACCTCGGCGAGGCAGAGCAAGTGCCTACCAAAGACGACAAAGAGCTTGAACTCGAAATCGTTAGAAACCTGAGGAAGAGATGCCTTGAGAGCGAGCGTCAAATCTCTGTAGCACTAGAAGCATTCCCTCTTGATTTGCAGGACCAGCTTAATCAATACATGGATAAGAGGTTTGTCTACACATAAAAACTTACTGCAAATTCGAGATTGCCGCGTACTTTCCGTGATCGTGAATATTGTTTGGTGGCAGGATGGACGGAGAGACATTGAAGTCTTATGTGACACATTGGCCTGCTCAACGTTGGCAAGAATATGAGCCTCTTTTAAGTTACTGTCGCGATAACTCTGTTAGACTAATTGCTTGTGGCACTCCTCTCAAGGTAGAATCTTGAAAGTATTTGGATGTAGTTAACTGTTTGATTTGGTTTGGATGATCTTCGTAGTTCAGTGTTTAATTTCTAATCCTTTTGAATATGCTGCTTCATTTTATGTTTCTCATCTGGTTCTAGAGTAGTTTTTTGGATGGTAGCTACATTGTTTTCTATCTGATTGAAGTTTGTGAGACTAATTACATCTTGATAGTGTAAGTGGTATGAATATGGTTTTGATCATTTGAAATGAGTATTGACATGTTTAAGCTGTTAAGACTTAAGAGAGCGAGCTTATCAGAAATATTGCTTTTGTTTATGACTCTGATAAGAGCTGATAAACACTCTGCTTAATCTGATGTAGGTTTTAAGAACTGTCCAAGCAGAAGGTATCCGTGGTCTTTCAAAATCTGAGCGTAAATTATACACTCCCCCTGCTGGTTCTGGGTTTATTTCAGGATTTTCTTCCTTCTCACGTAGATCTACATTTGATATGAGTCTCCCAACACAGATTGTTCCGTTTGGACCAAGTTCTTATTTGTCGGCACAAGCAAGAGTTGTTGAAGACCATACAATGTCACAAGTTATTTTACAAGCAGTAGCAGATGGAGGGGGTAGTGGTCTACTGTTAGTGGTAACAGGGGCGAGTCATGTTGAGTATGGCTCAAGAGGAACAGGTTTGCCAGCAAGGATCTCAAGGAAGTTTCCAAAGAAAAACCAAGTTGTTGTATTACTTGATCCTGAAAGACAGTACTTGCGAAGAGAGGGCGAAACTCCAGTTGCTGATTTCTTATGGTATTCTGCAGCAAGACCCTGCAGTAGAAACTGCTTTGACCGAGCAGAGATTGCTCGAGTAATGAATGCAGCTGGCAGGAGGCGAGATGCCCTTCCACCGGTAAGATTCATATGGTTGCTTTCATTATATTGACGACATGCACCCTTGTATGTAAAACTCTCTTAACAATTGATTTATTAAGCAGTTCAATTCTTCTCCCCAATTTTTTCTTTGTTGAGCTCAACTTTAAATCAGGCTTGTATATCACAAGTTCAGAATGATGGAATATATTCCATGCTTTCCAGGATATTCAAAATGGATTAGACCTTGGTCTGGTGTCACCTGAGGTTCTGCAGAATCTCTTTGATTTGGAGCAGTATCCTCTTATTTCTGAGCTTACTCAGCGGTTTCAGGTATATCCACTTTGAGTTTTTTGCATAATATATTGTTACTTTGTGTTATTTATCGATATAGCAGAGCTTGCATACCAGTCCATCGTAGAGTACTTGTTGTATATTTATATCCCAGAGAATTGATGATATCTTGAACAGTTAGTAGAATTTCAGTTATATGATTTACTGTGAATTTGTGATATAGGGTTTCCGAGAAAGGTTGTTGGCAGATCCAAAATTCCTGAATAGATTAGCTATCGAAGAGGCTATATCAATAACAACTACATTAATAGCACAATATGAGAAGCGGAAAGAGAATTTCTTTGAAGAAATCGACTATGTTATAACTGATACAGTGAGAGGATCAGTCGTTGATTTTTTCACAGTTTGGCTTCCTGCACCAACTTTGTCTTTTCTTTCATATGCTGATGAGACCACTGGACCAGACAGCATAGACGCCCTGAGAGGCCTCCTAGGATCCATACCTGATAACGCATTTCAAAAAAGTCTTGCTGGAAGAGAGTGGAACCTGAATCTTAGAATTGCTTCAGTTATTGTTGGTGGCTTGAAGCTTGCTGGTGTTGGAGTTGTTTCCAGTTTTGCAGCTGTGGGAGCTTCAAATGCATTGAATGTAGTACGAAAGGTCATTAAACCCGAGTTGGTTGTTTCTGAGAAACCTAAGAGGTCTCCTCTTCTGAAGACGGCAATGGTTTATGGAGGTTTTCTGGGAACATCTGCAAATCTTCGTTACCAGGTATGATGATCCATGCTGCTTGACAGTGATGGTATATGTATGTTAATTCTTCGTCGTGGCTAAGGAAGAGTGTTGATGAAAGACATTATGATTTGATTTATGTATCTAATGTCAAAGTGTCTTTAAATGCAGATAATTGCGGGATTAATAGAGCATCGCCTTTCTGATGAGCTTTCCTCTCAACCTCTACTTGTAAATGCTATTTCATTTGTTGTCAGGACCCTAAACTCATATTTTGGAACGCAGGTCAGAGTTACACGCCTGAATATTTGGTTTCATTTTTCACTTCTTTATTTCTTTTTCTCCTTTAAGCATAGTGTCTTAAACTCTTATTTTTGAAGTACTATTGATTTGATCCCTACTTTTGATAAAAATGTTGCAGCAATGGATCGATCTTGCACGCTCTACAGGTCTGCAAACTCAGAAAAGCATCCCAGCCTCTAAAGAAATTCCAGAGGCTTTGGAAGAATCGACGGTGGAATGCGATACTACTACTGAAGAGGAAAGTATCGACAAGCTCAATAATCAATGATACTGGTGAGGCTACCCCACTAGTTATCAAAATAGTTGTTTGCCATAAGCTTTAGATCGTAGAAATGAGCATAATAATTTCACAATTTTTAAGTTGTATGTTCGTATTTGTGCTTCTTGGCAAATAGTGATGGTTTCAATATAAATTTCTTGTCTTAAACTCACATTAGTGATGCCGATCTACCATGAGTTCCTACAGTCGTCGATACATCGATTTTTTCTCTTTTATTCGTTCCTCGTACTTAAGCAATCATTTTTCTAGGATGATGAGAAGCTGTAACACTCTAGTTGACAAATACTTTTGCACATGAGTAGGAGATAATATCTCAGCTGGCAATAAGTTGTGGTTCAGAATTCTATTTGGTATGTAAGCAAAGAAAAAGGACATGGAAACCATCAACATGTGCAGATTCAACATAGAGTAGAGAGAGTGTGTGACAATAACTAACAAGAGTGAATTAAAAAGTTCACCATGAATCGATCTGTGGTGAATTTAAAGTGCTAGTGATCTGATTTGCGCCTTCTAGATGCTGCCTGGATCAGCGATTGGAGGAGCTAAGCCCTATTGGATTCTAACAGAAATATTTCATACATATGTTTCCTCAAGAATCAAACTCTCTACTACGTAGCAATGTGCTAGATGGAAAACAAGATTATTACCACCCAAGAGTCATATGCTGTGTGTTGAGAAGAAAAGTTGGGGTTATGATGTTTGAAACCAAGTTCTGGGGAAAGAAGCACTGAGGAAAAGAGAAAGGGTACAAAGGATGATGTGAAGAATCTCTCAAGCCAAAATTATAATTTGACCTTCTCTCTGTGAGTTTTAAACAATGGAGTGAAGCTTTTATTTTGTAAATCCAAACCATAGAAACAGCTTATAACTAATCTGCAATTGCATCTCATAAACTTTTCAGATAAATTTGGATTAGTACCAACAAGACTAACATAATTATCCAACTTAAGAAAAAACACAACACTCATATTGGTCCTCCTTTTTTATGCAATCGTGACCACCACCACCACGGTTTATGCTATTTTTAAGTAATAGGTTAGCATCTCCGTCCACGGCAACGGACATAGTGAACCTCTAGCCTTGAGTGAAGCGATGGGGGTTGCAAAATCTGCATCACCCGTGATAACCAGAATGTTCGCGGACTTCTTAACATCGATGGCGTAGAGTAACATCGATAATATCAACAACTTGTATGCTTGATCTGACTAACTGACTTATGTTGATGTGGAACATTTGTGACCAAAAATATAAGAAGCTAAAGTTGAGCAAAAGTTGAGGAAAAGTTTAGCAAAAATATAAATTATAACAATGTTTGTCAATGATAAACAACATAGTTCAACTTGAAGCCTTCTTTACATGCGTCACAAAGATCAATTCTTTGTTCAACATGTAAGAGGTTGAAATATAACATAGGATCTTGTAGAGCATAATATTGATTCCAGGAAAACATATTCAAATTGCCATAACCAATAAGACCGATGACAGAGTATTTCTTGTTCAAATGT